GATGGGTCATGTGAAGGAAATGCTATAACCACCCCCCAGCCACATCTAGCTAAGTGGATAGGTCACTATTGTCTAGACATGTACACATGTTCATGAAATACAATAGATTGCCGTAATCACCCCCAGACACACCTGGCTAATTTGATGGGTCATGTAATAATCAGGCCGAAGTGGAGTCTTTTGTTTAGACATCTAGGTAGGTAGCTAGCTAGCTAAACAATGAACCGGCATAATCCCAACTCCTACTACTACCAATACAAACATTGTCATAGCTGTAGTATGAATCTGCAGGTAGCTAAAGCTAACAAACTAGGTTCAATGTTAGCTAGCGAACATTAGGCTATAACTAGCAATGCAAATGTATTTCTGATTCGAATAATATTACTACACAGATCCTACATGTTAGCTAGCGAGCCAGCAAGCTAATGTTTGCTAGCTAACTAACAGTACGCTTTAACTTAAAAACTACTTTCTGACAAAATTTAGAAACGTATATCTGAAAATGTAGCTAGACTGTTACCCGTATACATGGATGAATGCTTCACGGCAGACTGGAACCATCACTCCGGTTCACACTGACCATGGCGTATGCAGAAAGTAGCCCATCACTTTTTCCAACTGATCTGTCGATAGCGCCTGCTAAATTCAGGTTATCAATGTTGTTGAGAAAAGTAGCAAAACTTTTGTAGTTCTCGATGGCTAACGTTATATCTTTCAAAAATGGCGCAGTAGAAATGACTGTCAACACATACTGAACAGCTCACGTTATAGACAGAAGCATGCTACATGGCAGACCAATCCAAACTTATCTCCCGGCAGGTCCAGCCCATCCATTATCTCAGCCAATCATGGCTAGCGGTAAGGTTCCTGCCTTTTTCCGTGGCTAAACCAACTAGGCTTGTAATTTAACAATTTTAGTCATATTTATGGATGGAATACAAGTTTGTTATTAAGGCACATGAAAGTTCACGTTCCAGAAAGCATTTCTGCCATAAAAAACGCATTTTGATAAAAAAATTAATGTTTACATTCAAATGCTGCTCCTGTGAAGTAGTGACGTGCGACATACGCCTAGTTTCCTGAAACGAGTCACATATGAACTAACAGGTTGTAGAGCAAACAATGCAATTATCATAACACATAGATGGAATAGGGCTTTTTTTATTCCCTGGCTTCCCTAGTAATTTTACCCTCACACCACTGCTGCCAGGCAGTTCAGAATAACTTTGTTTCAGTCTACAGAGTTTGGTGTCAAATAGCACCTAGCTGTCTGTTCAAACGACTATCCCACAACTCCGACACCCATGCATACCCCACAAGACATGCCACCAGGGGTCTCTTCACACTCCCCAAGTCCGGAACAGACTCTGGAAAACGCGCAGTACTACACAAAGTCATGACTACATGGAACTCTATTCCACACCAAGTAAATCATGCAAGCAGTAAAATCAGATTTAAAAAAAACAGATAAACCTCACCTTAAGGAACAACGCAGACTGTGAAGTGACACACACACACACACACACACACACACACACACACAGGCAAACACACATGCATACACGCACTCTACACATACTTATGTATGGTGGTATTATACATGTTTTATTGTAGATATGTAGTGGGGTAATAATGTTATATGTACTGTTATTTATAATATTTTTTGCCTTAATTTGTTTGGACCCCACGAAGAGAGGCAGCTAATGGGGATACTTAATAAATACAAATACACATTCAAATGTAATATGACATTCCAATTCAGTTCTTGAATTCACTCATGAAGTGGAGAATTTATGTTGAATTCAATTAGAATTTCAATTGAATTAGATTTTTTGGACTTTTGAAATTGTAAAACATGTATTCTTTTGGAATTTAATTTAATTGGAATTCCCAGTTAAATCATTTAAACTTTTATTTCAATATTTCCAGTATAGCTTTCTCAACAGTGACATGATCAGCCTGATGGAATTAAATTGGAATTTGTGGAATTGTTGGGGATAATATTTAATTATTGGAATTTATCTAACATTGGAATTGAATTATCTCTGAATTCAAAGACTGACCTATAATTTGAATGTAATTACATTTACATGGACAGAGAATTGAATTAGAATTTAATTTTGGAACTAACCCCAACCCTGGTAGTCTATCAGGTGGCTTTGTTTTTGGCTGCAGTGAGTGAAGTTTAAAGGAGGCACAAACTGTTACTCACTCCCGAAATCGGTTGTTTTATGGTTTTACAGGCAGGTAGAGTGCTTCATCGTAAACACACATTGAGAGTGAGGGTAGTTTTATGTTACTGAGAGTATAGTCTTCAAACCAACATGTTGAGACAGTGTTCAGAGAGGGTCATCAGGAATGCAGGTATAGAGTGCTGTTGTTTGGAATGGTGGGTAAGTGGACCACGTCAGCTGCACTGCAAGCCTCTGTGATCATCACTAAATGGAGGGAACGTGACAGAAGTATGTAGAATATGGGGCTGCTCTCAATGCTATCAGAATGAAAGGATGGCGATGCACCCTCTCACTCACTCATAAAACATCTCCCAAGGAGTCGGCTCTAGTGAATGGAGCTCTCATGGTGTTAGTGTGTTTACTAATTCATTCATTCAGGCTGGCGTGTTAGCAGCAGCTCAGTGGATCCACACAGTCAGAGTGGGCCTGACATTCTGGGTCACTCACTGTGGTGAATCAGGGTGTCTGAAAGTGGGGAGACAGAGTGGGAGATAGTGGGCATCTTTTAGTGAATGAGGCACCGCGCTTAAAGCGATGTGCACTGATTCAGAAAACCAGGACAAAGTCAAAACACACAGTACCACACTTCTCCTGTGACCTGAAAATAATGTGTGATGTTTTAGACAAGGTGAATGCAAGTTTAATCTGTGAGAGTCTCTACAATGTTATTTGATGGAACATGCAGACAGTGTTTGTTTTTATGTGTGTGTCAGTGGTTGTACTGTATCTGTCTGAGATTGACAGCATTTGTGTCACAGTGAGTGAGTATGAATGTGTGTATTGTAAGTGCTTTAACTGTTTCCTGTCTCCCGTAACGGTTTACAGTTCAACAGCTGCCTCCCCATATCTGCTGACGGATCAATAAAATGTTTATGATATATACAGTACAAATGGGAGAATGAGATGCGTGAGGAAGTCGTAGACAAATAAGGCGGCCAACAACAGGATGCAAAGTTTATATACAGTGCATTCGGAAATAATTCAGACCCCTTGACTTTTTCCACATTTTGTTGCCTTATTCTAAAATGGATTAAAATATTATTTTTACTCATCAATCTATACACAATACCCCACAATGACAAAGAAAAAAACAGAAATATCTTATTTGTATAAGTATTCAGACCCTTTGCTGTGAGACTTGAAATTGAGCTCAGGTGCATCCTGTTTCCATTATCATCCTTGAGATGTTTCTACAACTTGATTGGAGTCCACCTGTGGTAAAGTCAATTGTTTGGACATGATTTGGAAAGGCACACACCTGTCTATATAAGGTCCCACAGTTGACAGTGCATGTTAGAACAAAAACCAAGCCATGAGGTCGAAGGAATTGTCCGTAGAGCTCCGAGACAGGATTGTGTCGAGGTACAGATCTGGGAGTTACAAAAAAATGTCTACAGCATTGAAGGTCCCCAAGAAAACACAGTGGCCTCCATCATTCTTAAATGGAAGAAGTTTGGAACCACCAAGAAGCTACCTAGAGCTGGCCGCCCAAACTGAGCAATCGGGGGAGAAGGGCCTTGGTCAGGGAGGTGACCAAGAACCTGATGGTCACTCTGACAGAGCTCCAGAGTTCCTCTGTGGAGATGGGAGAACCTTCCAGAAGGACAACCATCTCTGCAGCACTCCACCAATCAGGCCTTTATGGTAGAGTGGCCAGACGGAAGCCACTCCTCATTAAAAGGCACATGACAGCCCGCTTGGGGTTTGCCAAAAATCACCTAAAGCACTCTCAGACCATAAGAAACAAGATTCTCTGGTCTGATGAAACGAAGATTGAACTCTTTGGCCTGAATGCCAAGCGTCACGTCTGGAGGAAACCTGGCAACATCCCTATGGTGAAGCATGGTGATGGCAGCATCATGATGTTGGGATGTTTTTCAGCAGCAGGGACTGGGAGACCAGTTAGGATCGAGGGAAAGATGAACGGAGCAAAGTACAGAGAGATCCTTGATGAAAACCTGCTCCAGAGCACTCAGGACCTCAGACTGGGACGAAGGTTCACCTTCCAACAGGACAACGACCCTAAGCACACAGCCAAGACAATGCAGATGTGGCTTCGGGACAACTCACTGAATGTCCTTGAGTGGCCCAGCCAGAGCCCAGACTTGAACTCGATCTAACATCTCTGGAGAGACCTGAAAATAGCTGTGCAGCGACGCTCCCCATCCAACCTGACAGAGCTTGAGAGGATCTTCAGAGAAGAATGGGAGAAACTCCCCAAATACAGGTGTGCCAAGCTTGTAGTGTCATACCCAAGAAGACACGAGGCTGTAATCGCTGCCAAAGGTGCTTCAACAAAGTAAAATACTAAGGGTCTGAATACTTATGTAAATTTGATCTTTAGTTTTTTTGTATTGTGTGTAGATTGATGGGGAAAAAACAATTTAATCAATTTTAGAATAAGGCTGTAACATAACAAACTTTCCGAATGCACTGTATGTGTTTTGTGAGGCCAGTGGAATATCATCATCTGGAGTTCCACTGCATTGCAGTTGCTTCTTAATTTTACAGACTCTTTTTTCAGAGGTCGTAAAAGTGTCAAGAACCAAGGGAAGGATTATGGCGCAATTACATGCTTTACGGTTCCATGATGATTGAAATAGAATGTCATGACCATAGAACTAAATGGATTGCTATTATTGAAAATAATTAATGAAGAGAGCTTTAGGGTTTATTCTTGAATGGTTGGTGAATAAAATAAATAACAAAACTAGAATATACAGTAATTGTATAACCGCTGTAAGGGACAATTAAAATTAACCATCCATGACTGTGTTTTGTCCTCCTCAGATTGATGAGCTGTATGAGGCCTACTGTATGCAGCGCCGGCTGAGGGATGGGGCCAATAAAATGGTGAAGGCTTACACAGACTCCCAGGGCAGCCGCGAGGCCAGAGAGAGCCTCTCTGAGGCCAACAAGGGCTACAAAGAGTACACAGAGGTGAGGGGTGTGAGAGGGGAGCATGGTCAGGGAGGGAAGGAAGGGGGAACAGGGTAAAATGGGCAGGAAGCTATGGATTGAGTCAGTGTCCTGAGATTGATTTCAAAGACTGCAGGGTAACCTAAGAATAGGTGCTCTCCTTATTATATCCCCCTCTGATATTAGTACAACGATTTGAAGTTTTGACTGCCTAATGTTTTGCTTAACTTTCCCTCTTTCACTCTTTGCAGAACATGTGCATGTTGGAGAGCGAGCTGGAAAACCAGCTGGGAGAGTTCCATGTGAAAATGAAGGGTATGTTCATTTTAGTCAACTCCTTCCTCTTCCCTGTCTGTTGTGACTCTGGACCGTGTATTGTAGCTTCCTGTTGGTCTATTTCAATAAAACGGTTGCATTGTTAGTGTTTGTTTGTATGTGGCCTTGAAGCTTTTTGTTTGTGTTGCAGGTCTAGCAGGATTTGCACGGCTCTGTGCTGGAGACACATATGAAGTGAGTTTCTCTCTCTCCCTCTCCTTCTCCCTCTCTCTCTCCACTTTTGCATGGCTGCCCCAGCATCATCATTCCTCTAAGCATTAGTGCTGGTGGAGGGCGGTGGAGGGAGTGGATACTCTACCAGTGGCGGCCGCTGATTGGCTGAATACCAGGGGCGTGAGGACGTTTGGAGTTGTCAGCAAAGCAGCATGACAGAAATATGATGCAAAGTTTTTGAACTACCGGTAGTTTCTTTTAGAAGATATATAAAGCGATCTGTACATTTGAACAACTGCATAAATACAACTATTTCACTTTTTCAAAAACCGAACGACCACTGTTGCATATGCTGCCACTGTTTTGAACAGATTATATTATTTAGAACTAGTGCACCAGGGATAACACAACAAGCATGCAGATGCAATAAGTGTAAAAACATTATCTAACTGGGGTAGCTAGCGAACATAATGTCACAAAGCAAGATGCCAGTTAACTTTCATTCTGAAATAACCTCATATTTCCGAGTTAGTCAGATATTGAGAAATTGGCATTGGAGCTAACTAGCTAGCAAGCTAACAGCTAGCTAGCTGCTTATCAAAGGTAATAATAAATAATAATAATATGCCATTTAGCAGACACTTTTATCCAAAGCGACTTACAGTCATGCGTGCATACATTTTTTTTTTTTGTGTATGGGTGGTCCCGGGGATCGAACCCACTACCTTAGCGTTACAAGCGCCGTGCTCTACCAGCTGAGCTACAGAGGACCACAGGTAGAGATAACTGGTTAATTTGACCTAAAAATCTACCAAACAATTTCTTAATGTTTCTCAACATTTCTGTAGCTGGCTAATTAATTTGATCATGCTTTGTGATACACTCGGTTTTATTATGTTTTAGTCCACACAACATGGGGGAGAAACAAAATCAGCCAGGCTTTTTTGACGTACCAGATCCGCGATGAGAAGCTTCTAGCTAGTGTATCCCTCTGTCCTTCTCCTTTTGTTGGATATAGTTGTCCGGTTTATCAGATCCCAGGCTCCAATGACTTTTATGATTATTTATTTACAAGTTAATTACAATTTGCTTTAGTGACATCTGTACCTGATAGAGCAGATTTAGTCTCACGTGTGGAAGTAAGCCGTCTGGCACGAGAGACTCATTGGGAGGTAGACTAGAGCAGACCCAGAGGTTCTGACTGAACGGATGCAAATTTGAGCGCCCCAGGACGGTCCATTTACTTTGTGCTCTTATAATTCATGCGGGGCAGTAAGTAACTGAACAGCTAGTTTTTAACAATATATTTTTGAAACAGGTAAATGTATACATTTCTGCACTTTTATGAGCAGTTATAAAAATACTAACTTTTGTTTGTTGTTGACCAATCACAAGTGGGGTGCCGCCCCTAGTGGGCGGGCCACCGCTGTATGCTACAGTAGCATGGCCTCTCAGCTGGGCTGTCTGGGGGGATTAGCAGACTGCAGGAGGAGGAGGGTAATTGGAAAAGGAAAGGCGTTAATGTGTCAGCACTGCCTCTGTCTGTTTAACATGCATAGATTTAGTGATGATTGACAGCATAATCGATGGAGTGAGTCAGTGGAGCGCTGCGTTCCCTCCCTGGGAGAAGGCAACTATAAACAGAACCTCTAGAGTTTAGCTCAGCTTCAGCACAAACACATGACTCAGCGATGACTTGAGAATAGGGAAATGTGTGAAGACCAAAATGTGACAGTGTCTGGCTCATTGTGTATCTGTCTGCTATGCCATCTTGAACCTAAACCTGACCCCTGACCTTTTAGATCTTTATGAAGTATGGGCGGCAGCGCTGGAAGCTGAAGGGAAGGATTGAGATCAACGGCAAGCAGGTGTGGGACAGCGAGGACATGGTCTTCCTGCCTCTCATCACAGAGTTCCTATCATTAAAGGTACGAAGCAGCAAATCCTGGCCTAAAACACACACGCGTGCGCATGCAAGCACACACATGCGCACACACATGCGCGCATATAGGCACATGCAGGCACACACAGACTGTCTGTCACTCTCACTCACATTCACAGAGTCACATCTGTGTGTGAAGCGAAGACTCTGAGGTAATGGACATAACAGCTCAGTGAGAGGAGAGCAGCTGGATATCAACTAGTTTTTCTCCCTGAATGATTCCATTACTTTGCCCAATGTCACAGATCGGAAAGTTAAACTGAGGGTATGTGCTAATATGCATCTACTGGTATAGTGTGGCCATCTTTGAATGCATCAGCGTTATTTTCTGAAACTCTTTAGGGACTATTGTGATGAGTCCAAAGACCAAATATGGAGTGAATCTGACTTTTAGTCTATGAGAATAATATTTTATTATTATTATTATTATTATTATTATTATTGTTTTACGCATTAGCGTTACATAGTCAAAAAAGTGAATTGTTAATAGTTTCCTTATTTTGTCAATGCCAAACTTAACATTGTTCATCAAGGTAATGTCTTTGATGACCCTAAAAAGTTTCAAGTTAGGCCATTGTGAAGTAGATTTACAAAGGATTTAAATGAACACGTAAAATCCTCAGCCATCTCTTAACCAATCCCTTGGCTTTTCTCAAACTAAGTTAAGAGATGTGCCATGGGCCTACTAACTACTAACTCATTTGGTGTTATTTGGATTTCATTATTGGGTTCATGAGAATACGTTTTCAAAGGTTTTCCCAAATTTCCAAGATGGGGGCAAATTTGTTCAGCATGAGGAAAGACACCTACATACAACGTTTCAAATCCCTGGGTCAAATGGGGAAGCGGATATGAGGATTTAAGTGAGACTGCTTATAACAGTGCCACCTATACGCCAATCGGCACCAGCCTCTAGTTTCTGTGTGTCAAATTAGAAAAAAAGTTACCAATCTCTGCTTGAGTTATTTGGCCAAGTCAAGGAACATTTAAAATAATAAGAATTCAGACAATACAATAGGTTTCACCCCTAACTAAATAAAAACACAACTATAATAACGAGAGGGAGAGAGAAATAATTTACAATGGAGAATGTGAAATATCTGTGATTTTGTATAAGTCTAATTTTAATAGCCAATAGCTAGGTTTCCATCCAATTGGCGACAGATTTGCATACGAATATTCTAAAATCTGGATTTTCCCAGCAGAGATGTGTTTCCATCAAATTGACTTGTTGCGAATAAAAAGCTGTGCGTGGTGATGTAGTGCACATAAAACTCACTTTTGCGGTTAAATTCCAATGTGCCAAAAAAAAAAATGCAAGTAAATGGGTTTCCATCGCATTTTCAACTCTACCGATTGTTTTGTCACAAAAAATGTTTAAATAGCGAATGTGCCCACTCTGGTCTTTGCATGTGTGCTCTAGCCAACAGCTAGCAGATACAGTCTGGGTAGGCTACATTATCAGATTCCTATTATGGACAAAAATTTGGGATCATTTTTATTTATCGAACAGCAGCCAAGCATCGATCATCATGTCACCAGAATAAGGCCCTTGATATTTATTGGAAAGCAGCATCAAGCTCATCACCGTGCACTTTCACCAAACTGTGAAGTTCATAACTTATTTCATCTGTAGCCTAATAAACTGCATGCTTCCCCGAGTCATAGTGGGAAGACCACACAACATCATCCCGTGACTCCCAAGTTTACTTCGATATGATGGTTATCATATCAATCTTTGCACATAAAGGCATTTTCACCACCATTTCTCACATAATTAATTTTACTGACACAAAAAGATCCAACCTTGTCTAGCATGTTTTGTTTTGTCAACATTAGGGAAGTTTACAGACAAATGTACTGTTCCATCAGGCCTGTCGTGACATGTTCTATCCGACATGTACTTTACTCGCATAAAAAAGTTGGATGAAACCTGGTTAATGCTTATCAAAAGCAGCTATTGTTGTGGGGTTTGGAGAGATTTAGATCAATCAAAATCAGTGATTCGGTTATGGTCTTACTCTGGTTTCCTAGGTGACAGAGCTGAAGAGCCTGGCCAATCACGTGGTGGTGGGGAATGTGTCGTGTGAGACCAAGGACCTGTTTGCTGCTCTACCCCAGACAGTGGCCGTGGACATCAATGACCTGGGGACCATCAAACTGAGTTTGGAGGTCACCTGGAAGTGAGTGGCCCAACGTGGCTTCTGCTTTGAAGTGGAGACCAAATCAGTGGGATATAGAGGGTGTATAGAGAGAGGAACTGTGTGTGTGTGCATATATTTGTGTGTGGGTCTAGTATTAAGTTTATGTGCCCTTTTTATTACTCTGTCAGCCCCTTCGACAAGGATGACCAAGCCTCGACCACAAGCACGGTCAACAAACCCCCCACGGTGAACAAACGCTTCTCCACCTACAACCAGAGTCCTCCTGATACCCCCTCCCTACGGGAACAGGCCTTCTATGTGAGTACCCTAAACCTCTAACTCTGTCCCGTAATCAGTGTCCTCTTTCGTAATATGGCCCATAATCCACAGAATAATTAACTGTAATCTGGGTTCTAAAGTGGGAGCAATTTGGTCGCATATGCAACAAAATATTTTGCTGTGTGACCTGGAGTTTTATTTTGTGAGCACCAGTGCGACTAAAAGAAAATCCAAAAAGCAATAATAATGCATAACAATATTTAGCCACAACACTTTTCTCTACACTGCTCCAACAAGAAAGGCTGCCTCCCGCTGCTGCTTGCTTCCAGTTCCCGGGCCACACACACGAAGCCCTGCCCCCTGTCACTCAAGCAGGCAGCATACAGTAACTCCATGCTGTTTATTCTCTCTCTCTCTCAATTCATGCACACAACATATTCTTCCAAAACAAGAATGAGCCACAGAGTTTCCAAAGCCGGAGGCGCAACATTCTGAGACTTCCGGGAACGCTTGCGAAACAGACCAAGCAGACCAGGCCGGGGTTTGGAGTTTGAGAAGTCAATGAGAAAAGTGAAACATTCTTCCTTGGTTGATAGTTTTCTCGAGCCAATGTCTTAAGTAGTTGAACATTTTATTACTCCAACCTCGTGAAAGTGACAAACTGACACATTTTCATTTTAGCCAAAAACAACTTTATATCGATTTGACGGCCTGCACATGCACAGTTCGGCGCGAGACAACCGTTAGACACGATTTGACGTGTTTCTGTGCATTAGTATAGCTAGCCAACATCGCCATGACATCGCTGCAAGTGTGATCGGGGATTTCTATTGGAGAAGCAGATTCTGCCCATCTTCATACTGTACTTCTTTGACGAGGCTGCTTTCCACATTGGTTCTAAATATGAATCCATGTTTTCTCTATTATACTATCAGTTTGTGGAACTTGCTCTCTGCAAAACGTGAGTTAGTTAGTCTAAGGACGCTGGCATGTACCTAAAATAATGCTAATGTTAATAGCGAACTAGCTAGCTGGCTAGCTATGCACTAGCTAAGGCAAAATAAATGTTAGCTCTAATACAGGTTGCTACCAGTGGTGGTGTAGATCAGCATATTGTTTGTGCAACGGCATGTTCTGAATCAGGTAGCCTATTCTAAAATCTTTGTCTATGCAACATCTATTCAACTGTGATTAGAGTCCCCTGGGAAACACTGACCAACACTACCCTGTCATAACTACTACTACTTGTTGTCATGCCAAACAACACCAACCATATAATTAGAATAATCATTCTATTTCTATGATTGCAACAGTTTGCCCAAGTGTTTTGATCTACAGGTATATCGCAAGTGAAATTGCAATATTTGGTTGAAAAATCACAATTAGATGTTTTGCCCATATCGTGCAGCCCTACTAACAACCTGGTAACTTTAACAGTACAGTGCCTTCAGAAAGTATGCATACCCCTTGACATACTCCACATTTTGTTGTGCCTGAATTCAAAATGGGTTAAATATTTTTTTTCTCATCCATCTACACACAATACCCCATAATGACAAAGTGAAAACATGTTTGTAGAAATGCTTGCAAATGTATTGAAAATGAAATACAGAATTAGCTAATTTACATAAGTATTCACGCCCCTGAATCAATACATGTTAGAATCACCTTTGGTAGCGATTGCAGTTGTGAGTCTTTCTGGGTAAGTCCCTAAGAGCTTTGCACACCTGGATTGTACAATATTTGCCCATTTATTATTTTGTCAAATTGGTTGTTGTTCATTGCTAGACAACCATTTTCAAGTCCTGCCATAGATTTTCAAGCAGATTTAAGTCAAAACTGTTACTCGGCCACTCAGGAACATTCACTGTCTTCTTGGTAAGCAACTTTAGAGTAGATTTGGCCTTGTGTTTTAGGTTATTGTCCTGCTGAAAGGTGCATTTGTTTCCCAGTATCTGGTGGAAAGCAGACTGAACCTGGTTTTCCTCTAGTATTTTGCCTGTGCCTAGCTCCATTCCATGTATTATTTATCCTGATAAACTCCCCAGTCCTTAACGATTACAAGCATACCCAAAACATGATGCAGCCACCACTGTGTTTGAAAATATGGAGAGTGGTACTCAGTAATGTGTTGGATTGGATTTTCCCCAAACATAACACTTTGTATTCAGGACAAAAACTTAATTGCTTTGCCACATGTTTTTGGAGTATTACTTTAGTGCCTTGTTGCAAACAGGATATATGTTTTGGAATATTTTTATTCTGTACAGGCTTCCTTCTTTTCACTCTTTTAATTAGGTTAGTATTGTGGAGTAACTACAATGTTGTTGATCCATCCTCAGTTTTCTCCTATCGCAGCCATTAAACTCTGTAACTGTTTTAAAGTTACCATTGGCTTCATCGTGAAATCCCTGAGCGGTTTCCTTCCTCTCCGGCAACTGAGTTAGGAAGGACGCCTGTATCTTTGTAGTGACTGGGTGTATTGATGCACCACCCAAAGTGTAATTAATAACTTCCCCATGCTCAAAGGGATATTCAATGTCTGTTTTTTTTTACCCATTTACCAATAGGTACCCTTCTTTGCGAGGCATTTGAAAACCTTTCTGGTCTTTGTGGTTGAATCTGTGTTTGAAATTCCCTACTCGACTGTGGGACCATACAGATAATTGTATGTGTGGGGTACAGAGATAAGGTAGTCATAAAAAAATTATGTTAAACACTATTAATACACACAGAGTGATGAGTCCATGCAACTTATTATGTGACTTGTTAAGCAAATGTTTACTCCTGAACTTATTTAGGCTTGCCATAACAAAGGGGTTGTATACTTATTGACTCAAGACATTTCAGCTTTTCATTTGTTATTAATTTGTAAAAATGCATAATTACACGGATATTGTGTGTAGGCCAGTGACCAAAAATCTCAATTTAATCAATTTTAAATTCAGGCTGTAACACAACAAAATGTGGAAAAAGACAAGGGGCACTGTTTATGCAAACATTTGGTGGCACAGAAATAAAGGAAAGGTGATATCTTCTTCAAGAGATATGCTTCAAAAGTAAGTAGGTTTGATATATCTCAATCAATTTTAAAAATACTTTTTCTGGTGCTCCTAAACTTTGTGGTGCTACTAATTTAGAAAAGTTAGGAGCACCAGTGCTACCAATGATTTTTTATTTATTTAGAGCCCTGGCTGTAATAGAGAAATGGTTCTAGAATGAATCTGAATGATAGCCCAATCCAGGACATGTTCTGTTCTCTGTAACACAGCATGTTTTCTGTCAGCAGGCTGTTGCTGTGCTGTTAACATGCAGCAGTCGAACAGAGGAGTATTTTTTTTTTTTTTTACACGTCCGCTGGGTTACAAAGCTAACAGGATGTATTGGTCTGTTTTGTCAGTGGGCAAGCTAAATACTTCCAGCACCTATTTGTCTTCCTTCAGTGACTTGATTGAGTTAGAAGAAAGAGCTGCCACGTTGCAGTGCAGTGGAGTGTTTAGTCTAGCTGTGATGTGTAGTAGAGGTGGCCCACTAGTGGACCTTTCTCACGGTCCTCTCCTACTTTACCTGGTGGTGTGAAGACTGCTCCGAGGAGCCTGTCGAGGAGCATGATGCCCCCCAAACAGCGCTGGTCCCTGCTGGATGTGTTTCGTGACACACTGGCTGAGAGACTGTCTCAGAGCTGTTCCTGCAGCGACGTCTCCTCAGTCCACCTGGCCTCTGCTAACATGCAGACTGACGTAAGTGCTGCTAGCCACTACAGAGAAAACCCACTAGATCCCCTCTAGTCTCTAGTTAGCCCCGTGTAGCTCAGTTGGTAGAGCATGGTGCTTGCAACGCCAGGGTTGTGGGTTCGATTCCCACGGGGGGCCAGTATGAAAATGTATGCGCTCACTAACTGTAAGTCGCTCTGAATAAGAGCGTCTGCTAAATGACTAAAAGGTAGTTACATTTGTGGTAGAGCATGGTAGTAGAACCTCCGTAGAAGAACTCTAGTAGAGATCTTTACAGATTGTTGTGCTGTCATGTAGATCCTCTGTAATATTGGCCACTGTAGAATCTGTGTTCATAGTCAGCTGTTGTGTCCCTTCTATTTGGATCTTAAAAGAGTCTTTAGTAGTCTTCGCTGCTACTCTCCATATGAAGCCTGTATTTGTTGTTATTGTTCCAGAGAGGTAAGCCTGGATGCCCAGTGAAGCAGAGGCCTGATAAATGAGAAGTTAATTAAAGGGAGCAGGGAGTCTGTTTGCTTTCTTGGCCAGAGGCCAGGCTGCTCTGCTCTGGTTTATAATTGAGGCCTGGCTGGCATGGGCTCACAGGGGCCCTCGGCTCTCTTTCTCTCTGTCTGACTCTCAATTATCATACTGTATGTTAGCTGGATAAGTCCCATCTTCAAAATGTGATGGTTTAGTCTCCATTTGACTTTGTCATTCTTGTGCTCTTCCTCCCTCCCTCTTTCTCTTTCTCTCTCTCTCGCGCTCTCTCTCTTTCTCTCTCTCTCTATCTCACTCTCTCTAGAACATGCTGAGGAGGCAGGAAGAGATGGAGAATGGCACAGCCTGGTCTAACTCCTCTGAGTCATCAGATGACTCATCCAGCCCTCAACTCTCCCTTGGGCTGCGTCACTCCAACAAGAACCTGGTCCAGCCAGAGGTCAAGGCAGCCACACCCTCCATTGAAATCTCCTTTGCCCTCCGAGACACTGCCACCTCCACCCCTACCCGCTCAGCCAAACCGGAGGATGTGCAGGAGGAGACGCAGAAGGAGGAGTCAGACACTGGAGCAGCGGGGAAACAGGCGGTGCCTAACGGTCACGCCCGCTACTCACGCTCACTCAGCCATATCAGTGAGAACAGTGCCGATGGTGTACTGACGGACAGGTCAACCAGCGAATTTGTGGAGCCCTCTGAGGTCACCTCCCTGCAGTCTGGGATCTCTATAAATGATATTGAGATGGGGATGCCTGCCAGGGCAGAGTCTGCCCTTATTCCAGGAGAGACTGTGGTGGTCAGGGACACCTCTAAGCTACCTGCCCCAGCTACTGTGACCATGGAGGAGAGCAGGCCGGAGAGCAGGTATTCTGCAGTGTCTATAGAGTCGGACACTGGGTTAGAGGTTGTTTCAGGGGCTGTTTCAGAAGTACAGCCAGAACTCCAGAGCTCTGCACCCACTAGGACTGATGCTATGTCTCAGCAAGGTGCCTCTCTGAATCCCAGGCCAGACTCACAAGCACGGACCCAGAGCACAGAGGGCATATCATACAGTGTCCACAGGGCAGTGGTGGTGGAGGAGGCCAAGACGCCTGGGGCTGTAGTAGAGCCCAGGCCAACAGAGGGTGAGAAGCAGCAGGCTGTGGACAGTGGAGTTGAGGAAGCCCTGAGTGCAGTCATCTCCTCTCTGGATGACTACAGGGGACAGTTTCCTGAGTTACAGGTCCTGGAGCAGGAGTTACAACTACTGGAGGAGACATTAACAGTGAGTTACAGCTGTGTGTGTGTGTGTGTGTGTGTGTGTGTGTGTGTGTGTTGCACCTCACAATGGAAATGGCCACTTCATAAGAGTGAGGGGGGCATTAGTGGGGGCTGAGTATATTTCAGCATCCCAGAATACCACAGTTCCCTGTGGGACTGCGATCAGGGTGCGGAACTTCCTGCCCCTCAGCTCAGTCTGAATATTTCCATCCCACAATGCTGCAGCAGGAGATGTGTGTACTGTCGCTGGGCGGCCGTCTGCCTGCTACACGTACGCACACCCAGCCCCTTCCCAGCTGAGACACAGATACACATCAGAGCTCGCTCTGAGCCAAACCCACTGACAAGGCGATAGGAAACAGAAAGATTATGCTTTTCTATTATTCTTCATTTCATCATGTCATAATTTTAGGACACACTGTTTTATTCCCAGACACTTTCCTCAGATTATCCATTTCCAAATAGGGGGTGTATTCTCACAATCAGGACTTACAGTGCCTTCAGAACGTATTCATACCCCTTGACTTATTCCACATTTTGATGTGTTACAGCCTGAATTAAAAATGGATTAAATATGTTTTTTTTCTCACCCATCTACTCACAATACCTCAAAATGACAGTGAAAACATGTTTTTAGATAATTTGTGCAACGTTATTGAGAAATAAATACAGAAATATCTTATTTATATTAGTATTCAAACCCATTTTCAATGACACTCCAAATTCAGCTCAGGTGCATCCAATTTCCTTTTGATCATCCTTGAGATGTCACTAAAATGGAGTCCACCTGTGGCCAATTCAGTTGTTTGGACATGATTTAGAAAGAAACACACCTGTCTATATAAGGTCCCACAGTTGACAGTGCATGTCAGAGCAGAAACTATACCATGAAGGCCAAGGAACTGTCCGTAGATATCCGAGATAGAATTGTGATGAGGCATATATCTGGGGAATGGTATAAAACAATTTCTAGAGTGTTGAACGTTTCCAAGAGCACAGTGGTCTCCATCATTTGGAAATGGAAAAAATATGGAAATACCCAGACTGCCTAGAGCTGGCCATCCGACCAAACTGAGCAACCGGGCAAGAAGGACCTTGGTCTGGGAGGTGACCAAGAACTCAGTGACCACTCTGACAGAACTACAGAGTACCTTGGCTGAGATGGGAGAACCTACCAGAAGGACAACAGTCTCCACAGCGCTTCACCAATCTGGGCTTTAGTGGCCAGACGGATGCCACGCCTGAGAAAAATGCACATGAAGGCACGCCTGGAGTTTGCAAAAAGACACGTGAAAGACAGAGCATAAGGCAAAGGTTTCTGTGGTCTGATGAGACCAACATTTTACTCTTTGGCCTGAATGCAAAGCGCTATTTCTGGAGAAAACCAGGCACAGCTCATCACCCATCTAACACCATCCCTACGTGAAGCATGGTGGTGGCAGGATCATGCTATGGGGATGCTTTTCAGCGGCAGGGACTGGGAGACTGGTAAGGATAGAGGGAACAATTAATGGAGCCAAGTTCAGGCAAATCCTTGTTGAGAACCTTTCAGAGTGCAAACGACCTTGGACTGGGGCAAAGATCTACGTTCCAACAGGACAATGACCCCAAGCATACAGCATACAATGCTGGAATGGCTTCAGAAAAAGAATGTGAAAGTCCTTGAGTGGGCTAGCCAAAGCCCAGATTTGAACCCCATTGAACATTTATGGAAAGACTTGAAGATTGCTGTTCACCACAGCTCCACATCTAACTTAACAGAGCTTGAGAACATCTGCAAGGAAGAATGGGAGAAAATCCCCAAATCCAGATGTGCAAAACTGATAGACATACCAAAGACGACTCAAACTGTACTCAAAGCTGTAATCGCTGCCAAAGGTGCTTCTACAAAGTATTGACTCAGCGGTATCAATACTTATGTAAATTAGATTTCTGTATTTCATTTTCAATAAATGTGCAACACAGCAAAATGTGGTATAAGTCAAGGGGTATGAATACTTTCTTAAGGCACTGTATATGGCATTAAAGTGGATTGGTGAAAAATAAAAGGTTTTGTCAGTATGTTTGAGTACATGTGTGCATGTCTCTCTATAACAAGTGTGTTCTAAAGGGCCGCACCTGCAGTCGTTCGTCCAGTGTCCAGAGTCTGACGGTGGAGACGGCCCTGGGCAGCTTTGACTTTCTCAACACCTCAGACCTGGAGGATGAAGAGGAGGAGAACGGGGAGAAGAGGAGTGTGACGGACAGGTCAGGTTCCATAAAATGGCTTCCCTCCCTAAATTCCATCACAGTTATACAGATTACAAGTTTTGTTCGTAAAGGAGATAGTTTTATTTCCCTGTGGTCACTTACTGCCATCTAGTGAAGAGATCCCACAACACAGCTTTAAATATGCTGGATGTGAGTGATGATGAGAGAAGGTCATTGGTATTCTGAATGATAATGACTTCACCTGGTCTAAATGTGACGTGACATTTTTAAAAACATTTTAGTCATTTTAGCAGACGCTCTTATCCAGAGCGACTTATAGGTGCAATCAGGGTTAAGTGCCTTGCTCAAGGGCACATCGACAGATGTTTCACCTAGTCGACTCAGGGATTAGAACCAGCGACCTTTCGGTTACTGGCACAACGCTCTTAACCACTAAGCTACCTGCCGCTACCTGTAGTGACAAGCCATGGCTCTCTGGGGTACCACTCTTTGGCAACAACTTTCCTGATGTTCTCAGCGTTTCCCCTAGGATTTTATTCAGCAGCAGTGGCAAAGTTAGTGGTGGTGGGGGGGGGGGGGGGGGGGGGGGGGTACTCTCGTGTCCCCTGTCCCCTGTCGTGTCCCCTGTAGCTCAGTTGGTAGAGCATGGCGCTTGCAACGCCAGGGTTGTGGGTTCGTTTCCCACGGGGGGCCAGTATGAAAATGTATGCACTCACAAACTGTAAGTCGCTCTGGATAAGAGCGTCTGCTAAATGACTAAAATGTAAATGTAATGTAAATGTGTCTAAAGGCACTGTCACGACCAAGAGGCCCATTTTGCTATTTAAAGCTATGGGGCAGATTTATTTTGTTGCAGTTTTAAAGCTAGATTCCTGCAATTCTACAAATTTTGTCATAGGGCTGAGAGAAAATGTTTTAAAGCAAATTTCCTGCAATTCTACACATTTGCCATGGATTATGCTGTGTTCTGATGCTATCTGAGTGACTCAAACATTATAACAAAATAAATGGGGGCCCATGACATTTTGGGAATTTTAGATTTTCCCTTTTTTATTTTGGTGTTAGTTCTCAAAGATGATCTCATTTATAAAATATATAGCTCTATTGTCTTTTCTACATACTTTATATCTGGTTTTAGCCATTTAAAGTAACACAAACATCTTACCATCCCGAAAATTAATTTCAACAATAAGTAAATGTATACTGTTTATTTATTTATATTTATTTATTATACTGTGCCTTCAGAAAGTATTTGCACCCCTTGACTTGTTCCATATTTTGTTGTTACAAGGTGGGATTAAAATGATTTAATTGTGTTCTTTTTTTAAATGATCTACACAAAATACTAATGTCAAAGTGGAAAATATCTGTAAAGAAAAAGACAATTAATAAAATAAATATAAAACATATCTTGATTAGATAAGTGTTCAACCCCCTGAGTCAATGCATGTTAGTCACCTTTGGCAGTGATTTACAGCTGTGAGTCTTTCTGGGTAAGTCTCTAACAGATTTCCACACCAGGATTGTACAATACTTGCACATTATTATTTTCAAAAATTCTTCAAGCTCTGTCAAGTTGGTTGTTGTTGGTTGTTGATCATTGCTAGCTAGCAATTTCCAAGTCTTGCCATAGATTTTCAAGTCAAAACTGTAACTAGGCCACTCAGAAACATTCAATGTCATCTTGGTAAACAACTCCAGTGTATATTTTACCTTGTGTTTTAGGTTTTTGTCCTGCTGAAATTTGTCTCCCAGTTTGTGTTGGAAAGCAGACTGATTTTGTCTGTGCTGATTAATATTCCATTTGATTTGTATCCAAAAAAACTCCCTAGTCCTTGCCAATGACAAGCATACCCATAACATGATGCAGCCACCACCATGCTTAAAAATATGAAGAGTGGTACTAGGTAATGTGTTGTGTTGGATTTCCCTCAAATCATAACGCTTTGTATTCTGGACAAAGTTTTTTCTATTTTTATTCTGTACAGGCTTCCTTCTTTTCATTCTGTCATTTAGGTTAGTATTGTGGAGTAACTACAATGTTGTTGATCCAACCTCAGTTTTCTCCTGTCACAGCCATTAAACTCTGTAACTGTTTTTAAAGTCGCCATTGGCCTCATGGTGAAATCCCTGAGTGGTTTCCTACCTCTCCGGCAACTGAGTTAGAAAGGATGCCTGTGTCTTTGTAGTGACTGGGTGTTTTGATATACCATCCAAAGTGTAATTAATAACTTCACCATGCTCAAAGGGATATTCAATGTCTGCTTTTTTTAAAACCATTTACCAATAGGTGCCCTTCTTTGCGAGGCATTTGAAAACCTTTCTGGTCTTTGTGGTTGAATCTGTGTTTGAAATTCACAGCTCGACTGAGGGACCTTACAGATAATTGTGTGGGGTACAGGGATGAAGTAGTAATTCAAAATTCATGTGAAACATGCATATTATTTGGTGACTTGTTAAGCACATTTCTACTCCTGAACTTAGGCTTGCCAAAACACTTATTGTCTCAAGACATTACAGCTTTTCGTTTTTAATTAATTTGTAAACATTTCAAAAAATATAATTCCACGTTGACATTATGGGATATAGTGTGTAGGCCAGTGACACAAAATCTCTATTTAATCCATTTAAAATTCAGGCTGTAACTCAACAAGATGTGGAAAAAGTCAAGGGGTGTGAATACTTTCTGAAGGCACTGTATGTATGTACAGTATGTATGTATGTGTACGTACATACAGTGGGGAGAACAAGTATTTGATACACTGCCGATTTTGCAGATTTTCCTACTTACAAAGCATGTAGAGGTCTGTAATTTTTTATCATAGGTACACTTCAACTGTGAGAGACGGAATCTAAAACAAAAATCCAGAAAATCACATTGTATGATTTTTAAGTAATTAATTTGCATTTTATTGCATGACATAAGTATTTGATCACCTACCAACCAGTAAGAATTCCGGCTCTCACAGACCTGTTAGTTTTTCTTTAAGAAGCCCTCCTGTTCTCCACTCATTACCTGTATTAACTGCACCTGTTTGAACTCGTTACCTGTATAAAAGACACCTGTCCACACACTCAATCAAACGGACTCCAACCTCTCCACAATGGCCAAGACCAGAGAGCTGTGTAAGGACATCAGGGATAAAATTGTAGACCTGCACAAGGCTGGGATGGGCTACAGGACAATAGGCAAGCAGCTTGGTGAGAAGGCAACAACTGTTGGCGCAATTATTAGAAAATTGAAGAAGTTCAAGATGACGGTCAATCACCCTCGGTCTGGGGCTCCATGAAAAATCTCACCTTGTGGGGCATCAATGATCATGAGGAAGTTGAGGGATCAGCCCAGAACTACACGGCAGGACCTGGTCAATGACCTGAAGAGAGCTGGGACCACAGTCTCAAAGAAAACCATTAGTAACACACTACGCCGTCATGGATTAAAATCCTGCAGCACACGCAAGGTCCCCCTGCTCAAGACAGCGCATGTCCAGGCCCGTCTGAAGTTTTTTTTTTTTTTTTTTTTTTTTTTGTAGTCATTTAGCAGACGCTCTTATCCAGAGCGACTTACAGGAGCAATTAGGGTTAAGTGCCTTGCTCAAGGGCACATCGACAGATTTTTCACCTAGTCGTTGCCAATGACCATCTGGATGATCCAGAGGAGGAATGGGAGAAGCTCATGTGGTCTGATGAGACAAAAATATAGCTTTTTGGTCTAAACTCCACTCGCAGTGTTTGGAGGAAGAAGAAGGATGAGTACAACCCCAAGAACACCATCCCAACCGTGAAGCATGAAGGTGGAAACATCATTCTTTGGGGATGCTTTTCTGCAAAGGGGACAGGACGACTGCACCGTATTGAGGGGAGGATGGATGGGGCCATGTATCGCGAGATCTTGGCCAACAACCTCCTTCCCTCAGTAAGAGCATTGAAGATGGGTCGTGGCTGGGTCTTCCAGCATGACAACGACCCGAAACACACAGCCAGGGCAACTAAGGCATGGCTCTGTAAGAAGCAGCTCAAGGTCCTGGAGTGGCCTAGCCAGTCTCCAGACCTGAACCCAATAGAAAATCTTTGGAGGGAGCTGAAAGTCCGTATTGCCCAGCAACAGCCCCGAAACCTGAAGGATCTGGAGAAGGTCTGTATAGAGGAGTGGGCCAAAATCCCTGCTGCAGTGTGTGCAAACCTGGTCAAGACCTACAGGAAACGTATGATCTCTGTAATTGCAAACAAATGTTTCTGTACCAAATATTAAGTTCTGCTTTTCTGATGTATCAAATACTTATGTCATGCAATAAAATGCTAATTAATTACTTAAAAATCATACAATGTGATTTTCTGGATTTCTGTTTTAGATTCCGTCTCTCACAGTTGAAGTGTACCTATGATAAAAATTACAGACCTCTACATGCTTTGTAAGTAGGAAAACCTGCAAAATCAGCAGTGTATCAAATACTTGTTTTCCCCACTGTACATACTGAGCAAAAATATAAACCCAACATGTAAAGTTTCATGAGCTGAAATAAAAGATCACAAAAATTTTCCATATGCACAAATAGCTTATTTCTCTCAAATGTTGTGCATAAATTTGTTTAAATCCCTGTTAGTGAGCATTCGTCCTTTGCCAAGATAATCCATCCACCTGATAGGTGTGGCATATCAACAAGCTGATTAAACAGCATGATCATTACACAGGTGCACCTTGTGCTGAGGACAATAAAAGGCCACTCTAAGATGTGCGTTCTGTCACACAACACAATGCCGCAGATGTCTCAAGTTTTAAGGTTTGTGTGCAATTGGCATGCTAACTGCAGGAATGTTATTTATTTATCATATTTTTTGGAGTGGCGGCAACGAATTAGCAGTGGTGGCTAAATAAATATAAGGGAAAACTGGTGCTCATATGGAAGAGGAAGCGAGACATCCCACTCATTTTTTTCTGGTTCAATGAAAGCCATGGCAAGCGGTACTGTAGCGTTAATTGAAATGCATTCCTGGTGAGATAGTCACCTGGAATGCATTTCAATTAACAGGTGTGTCTTCTTAAAAGTTAATTTGTGGAATTTCATTCCTTCTTAATGCGTTTGAGACAATCAGTTGTGTTGTGACAATATAGGGGAGGTATACAGAAGATAGCCCTATTTGGTAAAAGACCAAGTCCATATTATGGCAAGAACAGCTCAAATAAGCAAAGAGAAACGACAGTCCATCATTACTTTAACACATGAAGGTCAGTCAATACGGAACATTTCAAGAACTTTTAACGTTTCTTCAAGTGCAGTCGCAAAATCCATCAAGCGCTATGATGAAACTGGCTCTCATGAGGACCGCCACAGGAATGGAAGACCCAGAGTTACCTCTGATGCAGAGGATAAGTTCATTAAAGTTACCAGCCTCAGAAATTGCAGCCCAAATAAATGCTTAATGGAGTTCAAGTAACAGACACATCACAACATCAACTGTTCAGAGGAGACTGTGTGAATCATGCCTTCATGGTCGAATTGCTGCAAAGAAACCACTACTAAAGGACACCAATAAAAGAAGAGACTTGCTAGGGCCAAGAAACACGAGCAATAGACATTAGACCGGTGGAAATGTGTCCTTTGATCTGAAGTCCCAATATGAGATTTTTGGTTCCAACCGCTGTGGCTTTGTGAGACGCGGTGTCTCCGCGGATGATCTCTGCATGTGTATTTCCCACCGTAAAGCATGGAGGAGGAGGTGTTATGGTGTGGGGGTGCTTTGCGGGTGACACTGTCTGTGATTTATTTAGATTTCAAGGCACACTTAACCAGCATGGCTACCACAGCATTCTGCAGTGATACGCCATCCCATCTGGTTTAGGCTTAGTGGGACTATCATTTGTTTTTCAACAGGACAATGACCCAACACACCTCCAGGCTGTGTAAGGGCTATTTTACCAAGAAGGAGAGTGATGGAGTGCTGCATCAGATGACCTGGCCTCCACAATCCCCCGACCTCAACCCAATTGAGATGGTTTGGGATGAGTCGGACCGCAGAGTGAAGGAAAAGCAGCCAACAAGTGCTCAGCATATGTGGAAACTCCTTCAAGACTGTTGGAATAGCATTCCAGGTGAAGCTGGTTGAGAGAATGCCAAGCGTCTGCAAAGCTGTCATCAAGGCAAAGGGTGGCTATTTGAAGAACCTTAAATATATATTATATATTTTGATTTGTTTAACACTTTTTTGGTTACTACATGATTCCATATGTGTTATTTCATAGTTTTGATGTCTTCACCACTATTCTACAATGTAGAAAATAGTAAAAATAAAGAAAAACCTTGGAATGAGGCGGTGTCCAAACCTTTGACTGGTACTGTATGTATGTATGTATGTACAGTTGAAGTCGGAGGTTTACATACACCTTAGCCAAATACATTTAAACTCAGTTTTTCACAATTCCTGACATTTAATCCTAGTAAAAATTCCCTGTCTTCGGGTCAGTTAGGATCACCACTTTATTTTAAGAATGTGAAATGTCAGAATAATAGTAGAGAATTATTTATTTCAGCTTTTATTACTTTCATCACATTCCAGGTGGGTCAGAAGTTTACATACACTCAATTAGTATTTGGTAGCATTGCCTTTAAATTGTTTAACTTGGTTCAAACGTTTCGGGTAGCCTTCCACAAGCTTCCCACAATAAGTTGGGTGAATTTTGGCCCATTCCTCCTGATAGAGCTTGTGTAACTGAGTCAGGTTTGTAGGCCTCCTTGCTCGCACACGCTTTTTCAGTTCTGCCCACAAATGTTCTATAGGATTGACGTCAGGGCTTTGTGATGGCCACTCCAATACCTTGACTTTGTTGTCCTTGAGCCATTTTGCCACAACTTTGGAAGTATGCTTGGGGTCATTGTCCATTTGGAAGACCCATTTGCGACCAAGCTTTAACTTCCTGACTGATGTCTTGAGATGTTGCTTCAATATATCCACATCATTTTCCTTCCTCATGATGCCATCTATTTTGTGAAGTGCACCAGTCCCTCCTGCAGCAAAGCACCCCCATAGCATGATGCTGCCACCCCCATGCTTCACGGTTGGGATGGTGTTCTTCAGCTTGCAAGCGTTCCCCTTTTTCCTCCAAACATAACGATGGTCATTATGGCCAAACAGTTCTATTTTTGTTTCATCAGACCAGAAGACATTTCTCCAAAAAGTACGATCTTTGTCCCCATGTGCAGTTGCAAACCGTAGTCTGGCTTTTTTATGGCGGTTTTGGAGCAGTAGCTTCTTCCTTGCTGAGCGGCCTTTCAGGTTATGTCGATATAGGACTCGTTTTACTGTGGATATAGATACTTTTGTACCTGTTTCCTCCAGCATCTTCACAAGGTCTTTTACTGTTGTTCTGGGATTGATATGCACTTTTCGCACCAAAGTACGTTAATCTCTAGGAGACAGAACTCGTCTCCTTCCTGAGCGGTATGACGGCTGCATGGTCCCATGGTGTTTATACTTGGGTACTATTTTTTGTACAGATGAACGTGGTACCTTCAGGCGTTTGGAAATTGCTCCTAAGGATGAACCAGACTTGTGGAGCTCTACAATTTTTCTTCTGAGGGCTGATTTCTTTTGATTTTCCCATGATGTCAAGCAAAGAGGCACTGAGTTTGAAGGTATTTGCCTACCCGGCACGTAGGGCAGCTAAATCGAGTACACCTACCACCAACAGCGCAAGATTAATAAAAAAATTAGGAACGCAAGGCTTTATCATTGGGTGTTTTACATAAATGTTTTTTGATCGACTAGGAATGCCTTGGACCGGTTGGTGACCACTGATCTATGCATACTCACTTTACCCCTACCTACATGTACATATTACCTCAACTACCTTGACTAACCTTTACCCCTGCACATTGACCCTGTACCAGTACCCCTTGTACAGTATATAGCCTTGTTATTCTTATTTTATTTAGTTACTATTTTTATTTTATTTTATTTAGCAAATTTGTCTTACTTTATTTTTAACTACATTGTTGGTTAAGGACTTGTAAGTAAGCATTTCACAGTAAGGTCTACTACACCTGTTGTATTCGGCACATGTGACAAATACAATTTGATTTGATTTGAAGTCAATGAACTAAGTAGACTAGACCCAGCTGCTATTGCATTTGGTGTTTATGGGAGACACACCCAGTTAAGTAGACCGGAAGTTACCTTTTTTTTCAATGGTAAATGGCCTGAGTGAGCTATCTTCATTTTTTCCACCCTCTTTGCTCATACTGTACCTGTACTCCTGTGTGGATGTTGTGTTTAGTGAGCGCCACAGTGCCCCCTGCAGGCCGTCAGAGGAGAGTGCAGAGGGAGATGAAGATCGTGAGAAGAGATGCTGGGAGTTCCCCTCCTCTGGACCTGTGAGCACTGGCTGCCAGGCTCTAGACCACGCCCTACTGGTTCATCTGAAGAATTGCAGCGCCCAACTTCTGGTGAGGTTCATGATTTACTCCATCATGATTTACTCCATATATGAGTAACAAAACACTATTCCCACCACTGCAAAACACACCATGGTCTCACTGGGCACACTACGGCATTTCAACGTGGATAATTGGGTAATATTTGGTGGAGACGTTGATCAATGACATTACAACTTACAGTATATTCACCCACTCAAAAAGACAGCCAAAGGTTAGTTGAATTTCCAATGTGTTATCACTATGCTTTCAACCATCTAAAAGCACAACAAAATGTATATGGATGTTTTTTCAGATTTGATTTAGTTGTCACTCAAATGTCTATCACTGGCTTTCAACCATTTTAAAAGCACAGCAAAGTTCAAATGGGAATACAATGTCAGATATTTTGTTTATTTATACAACAGACTAATGTGATCACTGTGCTTCATCTAATAGCACAACCAAATGACCTGGCTGGGCCCAGTTTCCCGATAGCGATGGAATTTAAAGGCTTACGAGTGTTTTAACAATGCATTGCTCCTACAACGGCCGAAGATGTAACATGTTTCCCAAAACACAACGCAGAGACAATGCTCACTATGTGCGCCGTTGAGGCATGCATGTGTTGATACTGGTAGGATCGAAAAGAAAAGCAGCGCTGCTCTTGGATCAGCTTTCCATTGAAACGTTACCTTAACATTCAAATTATTCCACAATACTGACAACGGATCAACTTCTAGAGATATATTATCACCTATGGCTGCAAATATTGAGGCGCACATCATTGCGCCCATTACACATAAAATATATTGAGTAACAAATTACAGACCGTAGCCAATATGATTTGAAATATATAGACATGTAGCTTATAGGCCTACTGCATTTAACTTTTAAAGTAGTCCTCTCGGTTTTCATTTGAAGCATAATTTTATCCTCTGTAACAATTGCAAAAACATTGTCAACTTTAGTCTATTTGTAGTCAACTTTGTTTTGAAGTTATCAGTGGTCACAGAGAGACAGATAAACATACTGATTCTGTGTTTACCGGAGATCTTCTGTATATAAAGTGATGCGGAAGGGACACACTTAGTTGTTTTACGAGTGGTCTGAGGCAGTCGGTAAATAACAAGCGTTTTCAAGTGCAACTTTAGTAACGATGGTTTTGGGAAACAGCTCAGAGATTTAACGATGCTCCTACTGAATTTAGCCTTAAGATGCTTTTGTGAAACCGGGCCCTGGATTGCAGATTAATTACATTAAAAGTACATGGTGCAAGTGATCAATGCCGTTCGAGATGATTAAAAGTACATGGTGCAAGTGATCAATGCTGTTCGAGATGCTGCATAGATTATTACAGCAATTGTGAAGACATACAATTATCTGTAAGGTCCCTCAGTCAAGCAGTGAATTTCAAACACATATTCAACCACAAAATGCAGGGAGGTTGTCCAATGCCTGACAAAGAAGGGCACCTATTTGTAATTTTAAAAAAGCAGACATTGAATATCCCTTTGAGCATGGTGAAGTTATTAATTACACATTGGATGGTGTAATTAATAAGGGGAAGGAAACCGCTCAGGGATTTCACCACTTTAAAACATTAAACAGTTGAATGGCTGTGATAGGAGAAAACTGAGGCTGGATCAACAACATTGTAGTTACTCCACAATATTAACTTAAATGACAGAGTGAAAAGAAGGAAGCCTGTACAGAATATACAGTGAGGGGAAAAAAGTATTTGATCCCCTGCTGATTTTGTACGTTTGCCCACTGACAAAGAAATGATCAGTTTATAATTTTAATGGTAGGTTTATTTGAACAGTGAGAGAAAAAAATCCAGAAAAACGCATGTCAAAAATGTTAGAAATTGATTTGCATTTTAATGAGGGAAATAAGTATTTGACCCCTCTGCAAAACATGACTTGGTACTTGGTGGCAAAACCCTTGTTGGCAATCAGAGGTCAGACGTTTCTTATAGTTGGCCACCAGGTTTGCACACATCTCAGGAGGGATTTTGTCCCACTCCTCTTTGCAGATCTTCTCCAAGTCATTAAGGTTTCGAGGCTGACGTTTGGCAACTCGAACCTTCAGCTCCCTCCACAGATTTTCTATGGGATTAAGGTCTGGAGACTGGCTAGGCCACTCCAGGACCTTAATGTGCTTCTTCTTGAGCCACTCCTTTGTTGCCTTGGCCGTGTGTTTTGGGTCATTGTAATGCTGGAATACCCACCACGACCCATTTTCAATACCCTGGCTGAGGGAAGGAGGTTCTCACCCAAGATTTGACGGTACATGGCCCCGTCCATCGTCCCTTTGATGCGGTGAAGTTGTCCTGTCCCCTTAGCAGAAAAACACCCCCAAAGCATAATGTTTCCACCTCCATGTTTGACGGTGGGAATGGTGTTCTTGGGGTCATAGGCAGCATTCCTCCTCCTCCAAACACGGCGAGTTGAGTTGATGCCAAAGAGCTCGATTTTGGTCTCATCTGACCACAACACTTTCACCCAGTTCTCCTCTGAATCATTCAGATGTTCATTGGCAAACTTCAGACGGGCCTGTATATGTGCTTTCTTGAGCAGGTGGACCTTGCGGGCGCTGCAGGATTTCAGTCCTTCACGGCGTAGTGTGTTACCAATTGTTTTCTTGGTGACTATGGTCCCAGCTGCCTTGAGATCATTGACAAGATCCTCCCGTGTAGTTCTGGGCTGATTCCTCACCGTTCTCAGGATCATTGCAGCTCCACAAGGTGAGATCTTGCATGGAGCCCCAGGCCGAGGGAGATTGACAGTTATTTTGTGTTTCTTCCATTTGCAAATAATCGCACCAACTGTTGTCACCTTCTCACCAAGCTGCTTGGCGATGGTCTTGTAGCCCATTCCAGCCTTGTGTAGGTCTACAATCTTGTCCCTGACATCCTTGGAGAGCTCTTTGGTCTTGGCCATGGTGGAGAGTTTGGAATCTGATTGATTGATTGCTTCTGTGGACAGGTGTCTTTTATACAAGTAACAAGCTGAGATTAGGAGCACTCCCTTTAAGAGTGTGCTCCTAATCTCAGCTCGTTACCTGTATAAAAGACACCTGGGAGCCAGAAATCTTTCTGATTGAGAGGGGGTCAAATACTTATTTCCCTCATTAAAATGCAAATCAATTTATAACATTTTTGACATGCGTTTTTCTGGATTTTTTTGTTGTTATTCTGTCTCTCGCTGTTCAAAAACACCTACCATTAAAATTATAGACTGATAATTTCTTTGTCGGTGGGCAAACGTACAAAATCAGCAGGGGATCAAATACTTTTTTCCCTCACTGTACATATTCCAAAACATGCATCCTTTTGCAAATTAAGGCACTAACGTAAATATGCAAAAATGTGGCAAAGAAATTAACTTTGGGGCAAACACAACACATCACAGTACCACTCTTCATATTTTTAAGCATGGTGGTGGCTGAATCATGCTATGGCTATGCTTGTCATTGGCAAGGACTAGGGAGTTTTTTTAAATAAAAATAAACGGAATAGAGCTAAGCACAGGCAAAATCCTAGAGGAAAACCTGGTTCAGTTTGCTTTCCAACAGACACTGTGAGACAGGACAATAACATAAAACACAAGGCCAAATATACACAAGTTTCTTACCAAGACGACATTGAATGTCCTAGTTACAGTTTTGACTTACACTACTGGTCAAAAGTTTTAGAACACCTACTCATTCAAGGGTTTTTCTTTATTTTTTACGATTTTCTACATTGTAGAATAATAGTGAAGACAAAATAACCTCTGTACGCCTATGTAGATATTCCATAAAAAATCAGCAGTTTCCAGCTACAATAGCCATTTACAACATTAATAATGTCTACACTGTATTTCTGATCAATTTGATGTTATTTTAATGGACAAAAAAATTGCTTTTCTTTTCGAAAATAAGGACATTTCTAAGTGACCCCAAACTGTTGAATGGTAGTGTATGTTGGATTCACATCTCCATCTCAACCAAAAATCTAAGTTATAGAATCAAATCAAATCAAATTGTATTTTTCACGTGCGCCGAATACAACAGATGTAGACCTTACCGTGAAATGCTTACTTACAAGCCCTTAACCAACAATGCAGTTCAAGAAATGGTTAAGAAAATATTTACAAAATAAACTAAAGCAATGTAAATAGTCTGGGTGGCCATTTCATTTATTGTTCAGCAGTCTTATGGCTTGGGGGTAGAAGCTGTTAAGGAGCCTTTTGGACCTAGACTTGGAGCGCCGGTACCGCTTGCCATGCAGTAGCAGAGAGAAAAGTCTATGACTTGGGTGACTGGAGTCTTTGACAGTTTTTTGGGAATGCTGAGCTGCAGTCAATGAACAGCATTCTCACATAGGTGTTCCTTTTGTCCAGGTGGGAAAGGGCAGTGTGGAGTGCGATTTGAGATTGCGCCATCTGTGGATCTGTTGGGGCGTTATGCAAATTGGAGTGGGTCTAGGGTTTCCGGTATGATGGTGTTGATGTGAGCCATGACCAGCCTTTCTAAGCACTTCATGGCTACCGACGTGAGTGCTATGGGGCGGTAGTCATTTAGGCAGGTTACCTTCGCTTTCTTGGGCACAGGGACTATGGTGGTCTGCTTGAATAGGACTAATTCAAATCAAACTTTAAATTCACTTTAAATAAAGTTTGATTTTGATGTAGTCATATTCTTTAACTTACATTTTTGGTTGAGATGGAGTAGTGAATCCAATTTATCCCATTTTAATTTGTAGACAAACTGGATTTAAATCATAGACAAAATATCATTACATTTTAAAATCAACCAGAGCTTGAAACCTTAGGACTATTGTATTGTCTATTTTTAGTAAAATTCTGGGTTGAATTAAAACAATTGCTATTGATGACTTTGCTAATGCTATATAGGCCTAAATAGCATAATTGATGATTGATAGGTAAAGTATGGTCCCATTTTCATTTGCTCTGTTAAACCTACCCTTTTGGAATGACTGATACCCTTTGGAATTACTTAGATAAAATCTATTTCATTTTTTAAGTTGATCTCTCATCAATCATTATCACGATAGCATATTGGTAATAGTAATTGACAAATAACCAAGCATTGCTTGATTAAAACCTTGGATGGGAGACCGAAGGGTAGCTGTCGATAGATCAATTATCCAGTAGAGGTATATACATTTTTTCTGATAATGGATATAACGTTGAAAATCTGACATTGTTTTAAAGGTACAAATTCAACTGTTTTTATTCAAGGATTGTCTATGTTGAAATTTGGTTACCATGATGACATAATCCTGTGGTTGAAATTTCACCCTCAAAACACAATTTACGTTGATTACTTTTTTCAAATCCAAAGTATTTATCACGTAGATTCACGTCGCAATACGTTGACAAATTACATCAACTACGTTGATTTAACCAGTTTGCGCTCAATGGGGTCCTCTTATGTATGACACTCTAAACCAAATTAGTTTAAGAATTAAAATCTCATACATAGGTGCGTTTGTGTTGAGCTGCCAAAATTATTGATAAGCAGAGCAACAGCTCCCAGTTCTAATGTAATAATGATATTTAAAAATGTGGCATCTGTGGTCTCACCAAATGTTCTGAATTGCTGTATCAATTTTGGCTATGTGATGCCTGTGACACCTAATGGTTTATGCTGTGTGCTGTGCAGAGGCTGGGGACCTTTGGGCCTCTGCGCTGTGGGGAGATGTATGCTCTGGACCGCCTGCTCAGGGAGGCCCGAGTCCTCGAGCTTATCAGACACGTTGCCAAGGAGACCCCTGGAGGAGCCACTCAGCCAGATGAGGGTGAGTTCATTACAACTGAGAGGAGGACAATAAAACAGCATATTCATTTACTCACTGACAAATCTAAGGATATAATAAAGGTTAACTACTGTAATTGTAGATGATTAAATTACTATCATCTCTAACTTGTTTTCTTTTCCGTCTGTCTTCCTTCTTCTGCCTCTCTCCTGGAGTAGTGGTTCCCCAGTTAGAACAGTGCCAAGGGGCAACATTGCTATGGCAGCAGTGTACAGACAATGGCAGTGTGTACAGCACCTCCACAGAGGCTTTCATCACAACACTGGCTGCTGCTTACACCAACAGACTGCCCGAGAGAGGAGCCAGCCTGGCAGACACAGGTGTGATACTGTTGTTGTGTCACTATCATGTATAATAACACAGTGTATGTGACAATAAAATACACACATATATATATATATATATATATACTGCTCAACAAAATAAAGGGAACACTAAAATAACACATCCTAGATCTGAATGAATGAAATAATCTTATTAAATACTTTTTTCTTTACATAGTTGAATGTGCTGACAACAAAATCACACACAAATTATCAATGGAAATCAAATTTATCAACCCATGGAGGTCTGGATTTGGAGTCACACTCAAAATTAAAGTGGAAAACCACACTACAGGCAGATCCAACTTTGATGCAATGTCCTTAAAACAAGTCAAAATGAGGCTCAGTAGTGTGTGTGGCCTCCACGTGCCTGTATGACCTCCCTGCAACGCCTGGGCATGCTCCTGATGAGGTGGCGGATGGTCTCCTGAGGGATCTCCTCCCAGACCTGGACTAAAGCATCCGCCAACTCCTGGACAGTCTGTGGTGCAACGTGGCGTTGGTGGATGGAGCGAGACATGATGTCCCAGATGTGCTCAATTGGATTCAGGTCTGGGGAACGGGCGGGCCAGTCCATAGCATCAATGCCTTCCTCTTGCAGGAACTGCTGACACACTCCAGCCACATGAGGTCTAGCATTGTCTTGCATTAGGAGGAACCCAGGGCCAACCGCACCAGCATATGGTCTCACAAGGGGTCTGAGGATCTCATCTCGGTACCTAATGGCAGTCAGGCTACCTCTGGCGAGCACATGGAGGACTGTGCGGCCCCCCAAATAAATGCCACCCCACACCATGACTGACCCACTGCCAAACCGGTCATGCTGGAGGATGTTGCAGGCAGCAGAACGTTCTCCACGGCGTCTCCAGACTCTGTCACGTCTGTCACATGTGCTCAGTGTGAACCTGCTTTCATATGTGAAGAGCACAGGGCGCCAGTGGCAAATTTGCCAATCTTGGTGTTCTCTGGCAAATGCCAAACGTCCTGCACGGTGTTGGGCTGTAAGCATAACCCCCACCTGTGGACGTCGGGCACTCATACCACCCTCATGGAGTTTGTTTCTGACCGTTTGAGCAGACACATGCACATTTGTGGCCTGCTGGAGGTCAGGGCTCTGGCAGTGCTCCTCCTGCTCCTCCTTGCACAAAGGCGGAGGTAGCGGTCCTACTGCTGAGTTGTTGCCCTCCTACGGCCTCCTCCATGTCTCCTGATGTACTGGCCTGTCTCCTGGTAGCGCCTCCATGCTCTGGACACTACGCTGACAGACACAGCAAACCTTCTTGCCACAGCTCGCATTGATGTGCCATCCTGGATGAGCTGCACTACCTGAGCCACTTGTGTGGGTTGTAGACTCCGTCTCATGCTACCACTAGAGTGAAAGCACCGCCAGCATTCAAAAGTGACCAAAACATCAGCCAGGAAGCATAGGAACTGAGAAGTGGTCTGTGGTCACCACCTGCAGAACCACTCCTTTATTGGGGGTGTCTTGCTAATTGCCTATAATTTCCACCTGTTGTCTATTCCATTTGCACAACAGCATGTGAAATTTATTGTCAATCAGTGTTGCTTCCTAAGTGGACAGTTTGATTTCACAGAAGTGTGATTGACTTGGAGTTACATTGTGTTGTTTAAGTGTTCCCTTTATTTTTTTGAGCAGTGTGTATATATATATATATACATACATACATACACTTAGTGGCCGGTTCATTAGGTACACCACCCCATTTACTAAAATGGTTCGCTCCTACAGACAGTGAGTCAAGTGGCCGTAGCTTGCTAGCAGTCAGACAGGCATTAAACGTTAGAATGGGCAAAACGAGTGACCTAAGCGACTTTGAGCGTGGTATGATCAATGTTGCCACACACGCTGGTTCCAGTATCTCAGAAATGTCTGGCCTCCTGTGCTTTTCACGCATGACAGTGTCTAGGGTTTACAGAGAATGGTGCGACAAATAAAAAACATCCAGTCAGCGGCAGTCCTGTGGGCAAAAACAGCTCATTGATGAGAGGTCAAAGGAGAATGGCAAGAATCGTGCAAGCTAACAGGCGGGCCACAAACAGGCAAATAATGACGTGCAGTGGTGTGCAGAACGGCATCTCGGAACGCACAACTCGTTGGTCCTTTTCACGGATGGGCTGTTTCTAGCAGACGACCACACTGGGTTCCACTCCTATCAGCTAAAAACAAGAATAATCTGCTCCAATGGGCATGCGTTCACCAACACTGGACAATTGAGGAGTGGAAAAACGTAGCCTGGTCCAACGAATCCCGGTTCCTGTTTGTTCATGCTGATGGCATAGTCAGCATGCAACATCAGTCCATGGCCCCATCCTGCCTGGCATCAACGGTACAGGCTGGTGGTGTAATGGTGTGGGGTTGTTTTCATGGCACACGTAAGGTCCCTTGATACCAATTGGGCAACGTTTCCATGCCCCAATTCAGGCTGTTCTGGAGGCAAAGTGGGGTTCAACCCAGTACCTAATAAACTGGCCACTGTATATTTTAACATAGAGATACATGGTCTAAAACACTCTCCCTCAGGAGGAGTTTGTGATCAGCAATGCAATGCTCCTGGCTTTGATTCCAGTGACCTATATTATATCACAGATCCATACATTAGAGAAGAGCTGTTAAAGTGTTATCCTGTCACGTCTGACCTATGTCTCTCTGTGCTGTGTCTAGTGTTCTTGCGTCTGGTGGAGAGGATTCTGGAGAGGAGGCTGCCCAAGCGTAGGGACGGGGCAGCCAGAGAGATGCTGACCCTCTTCCAGTTCTGGAGCTACCTGGAGGCAGAGGGAGTGAGCGAGCTGGACACACACATCACTGAACTGGCAGAGGAGGGTGAGTGTCTGGGAGACTGACTATGGTAGTGAATGGGCCGCCTTAATTGCTTGGAGTTGGTGTTAATAAATGTGTTAATGTATGTTACCAGGTTACAGACAGCCACTTTGCTCTATGGTCAGTCATTATGAATGTACAGTATTTAAATGGCTGATTGCTCTCATTGTTGTTCTTACACCACACCCACTATAGCATAATCTCCTCATCCTATTGTCTTTTTCCTATTTTCTCTTCCCAACCTTATTCTCTCTCTCTGTGTGTTTCCTTTTCCTCCCACAACACACACCCTGTCCTGTCTCTTTCTCTGCTTCTCTGTCCACCCTCCACTCTTTCCCCCCCTCAGTGTGGCTGGTTCAGAGCCTGCAGTCAGGAGACCAGGAGGTGCTGGTGAAGGCCCTGAAGAGGCCACCAGAGAGCAGCCTGAAGAGGGAGGGGCTGCATGCTGTCAGCCTGCTGCTCAGGGACCCGCGGGGGAAGGTTTCTGCCTCAGCTAGCTCCCTGCTACGGAGCCTAGCCAACCAAACACGCCATCGAGAGAGGGTGAGACCAAGAGACACATTAATTTAAGGCAGGGGTATTCAACCAGGGGTACTGCAGGGGGTCTGCGTAAATGTATAAAAAATACAAACAAAATTGAAAAAATATTTATTCAATTTTGGTTTTTATGAATATCGCTAGCACCAACAGACTTAACAAATTTCAAATTACGTACCTACAATAGAGAAGAGGAGTATATCTTATATATTCTGTTCTATATATATTTATATTCTAATGATGTCAACTATTGCTCAACTCCTAATATTGTGTTGTCAATAATTAAGCAAATTGCACTCATTGGAGCCAATTACACTCACTGGAGTATTTGACATGGGCTTTGAAAAAGCGCCCGTGAATAGGCTACCAAGTGCCGCTGGCTGCTGGTAAGCTTTCTTGCCAATACTTGGCTAACCTTTGTTTAAACAGCTGCTCTTAGCGAAAATGTGTTTGGAGTTACCTTTCTAGCTAATAGGCTTTGTTAGAGTTTACACTACCTCTTCCAATTATTATGTAGGGAGGTCAAAATAATGAAAAACGATCTACCAAATCTATTCATATTATAATTCAGCTGATAAGGCAAGAATTGCTAATGTATGATTGGGGTCCCTGGATCGACAGTCTGCCTGGGAGGTGATCCCTGGGCAAGAAACGTTTTAAAACCCTGATTTAAGGCCATACTCACTGTAGAACTTTTAAAATGCACCTCTTAAAAAGTGTTATCTCTATGAAGATGCTAGGATCACCAATGTGGATTCACACTACACTACATCTCATTCCAAAATCAGTTGGTCCCCCCTTTGCTGCTATAACAGGCTTTCCACTAGTTGTTGGAACATTGCTGCGGGGACTTGCTTCCATTCAGCCACGAGCATTAGTGAGGTCTGGCACTGATGTTGGGCGATTAGGCCTGGCTCGCAGTCAGCGTTCGAATTCATCCCAGTGGTGTTCGATGGAGTTGAGGTTAGGGCTCTGTGCAGGCCAGAAAAGTTATTCCACACCGATCCCGAAAATTGACCTCGCTTTGTGCACGGGGGCATTGTCATACTGAAATGGGGAAGGGCCTTCCCCAAACGGTTGCCACAAAGTTGGAAGCACAGAATAATCTAGAATGTCATTGTATGCTGTAGTGTTTAAGATTTCCCTTCAATGGAACTAAGGGGCCTAGCCCGAACCATGAAAAACAGCCCCAGACCATTATTCCTCCTCCATCAAACTTTACAGTTGGCACTATGCATTCGAGCAGGTAGCGTTTTCCTGACATCCGACAAACACAGATTCGTCAGTCGGACTGCCAGATGGTGAAGCGTGATTCATCACTCCAGAGAACACCTTCCCCAAACTGTTGCCACAAAGTTGGAAGTACAGAATCGTCTAGAATGTCATTGTCTGCTGTTGCGTTAAGATTTCCCTTCACTGGAACTAAAAGGCCTAGCCCGAAACATGAAAAACAGCCCTATACCATTCGGGAAGGTAGCGTTCACCTGGCATCCACCAAACCCAGATTTGTCGGTCGGAATGCCAGATGGTGAAGCGTGATTAATCACTCCAGAGAACGCATTTCCACTGCTCCAGAGTCCAATGGAGGAGAGCTTTACACCACTCCAGCCGACGCTTGGCATTGCGCATGGTGATCTTAGGCTTGTGTGCGGCTGCTCGGCCATGGAAACCCATTTCATGAAGCTCCCGACGAACAGTTCTTGTGCAGACGTTGCTTCCAGAGGCAATTTGGAACTCGTTAGTGAGTGTTGCAACCGAGGACAGACGATTTGTACGCGCTACGCACTTCAGCACTCGGCGGTCCCGTTCTGTGAGCTTGTGTGGCCTACCACTTCACAATAACAGCACTTACAGTTGACCGGGGCATCTCTAGCTTGTTTTAAAGGTCCTATGACGGTGCCACGTTGAAAGTCACTGAGCTTTTCAGTAAGGCCATACTACTGCCAATGTTTGTCTTTGGAGATTGCATGGTTGTGTGCTTGATTTTATACACCTGTCAGCAACAGGTGTGGCTGAAATAGCCGAAACCACTAATTTGAAGGGGTGTCCACATACTTTTGTATATATAGTGTGTGTGTGTTTGTGAAAATGATAGTGTATTTTACCCCAGGCCCTGGTAAGCTGTCTGGAGCTTCTGGAGAATGAGAGCGTGGAGACGAGAGTGTGTGGCTGTAAAGCACTTGCATGTCTGAAGGTCAGTCTTACCACTTAGTCACACCTCTTCAACAATCTCCATCAGTTTTTTTTACTTTACGTACCCTAGTGTCTGGAGTCAGTCTGTTGTCCACTCTGTTTTTTATGTTCTGCAGGCCAAAGAGAGCATTGAACAGCTGATCTATCTCTGTCGATCGGACAAGGAGGATGTGCGGGATGCTGCTAAACAAGCTCTGCTGGTGCTTGGTATGTAGAAGGATAAGAAATATATAAGTTTGATAGGAGACTGAGTGATATCAAGTGATAAAGGGGCACAGAGAGTGGGGTTTCTGTGGGAGGGAAAGAGTGAGTATGAAAATGTATGCACTCACTAACTGTAAGTCGCTCTGGATAAGAGCGTCTGCTATATGACTTAAATGTAATGTAAATGTAAGACACGTGTGTGATTAATGTTCTGTGTGTTCCATCCAGGTGAGGAGGGGAAGTTGGCACACAGACACGTTGAGATATCTCTGCAGGAAGGAGTGCCATGCCTCTTCTCCCCTGGCAGCATGGCCAGCACCGCCTTCTAACGCCACCACAAAGGAATACTGATACCCTCATGCTAATGTCAACACACTATTACAGAACCATTATCATGCCACACACACACACTGTCAAAGAGGGTGCAATACACCCAGATGCAAAAAGGATGCTGACTGTCAAATGCACTCACTAACAATGGGATGACATCTACAGCTTGACATAAAGTCAGTGAACTAAACTCGCATATATTACCAACCTGTGTGTAATGTAAGTGACAACTGCTCATGAAGAACTGTGGAATTGTAGACGCGATGAAGAGGGGTGGAAAGTATTTTACTGCCTTACAGTACATTTTGGCCTGGTGGTGTTGCCTTCTGAATCATGTAAGCATAGCTGGGATGATGAATGGATGGAAGGACACAATAATCATTGTGTCAGATCATGGCATGGATAGAACAAAGTGGGAAAGTAATATGTTGACTTTTCGGGGGAAATGCACTTTTGATCTGCGGTATTTGTAATGAAGCTGGTTGGTGATGGTCTGTGTGGAGAATATCTGTGTGTGGAAGGAGTACTGAAGTAAGTCATGGGGATGGAAGGTATTTGGTTGTTCCTCAGGAGATGATGGTGGTGCAGTTCCACACTCTAGGACCAGTCTGATGAGGAGCTTGTTGCCGGCCAGGGAGAAGAAGTCTGGGAAAACAGTTATGACAGTGCCATCATTCCATACTATCATTATATGCTTTATGTAAATATATATTCCACTGGAAGTGTACATGTTAAATAATTGTGTTGTAATTCACTTGCTATTGTTGAAACAATCTACTGTAAGTAAATTCCTCATGCACTTCCTGAGACTCGTGCCACTTGCGATATAACTGAAAATTATTTCAGCTGTATGGGTGGTGGAGTTCTTTTTTATTATCATTTATTATTGAAAACTTAAAACTGTGGTGGACTTTGCCTTTTTGGAGCAGAAAATTTCTCACTGAAACAGACAACCAAACTGCTTGTACTGGCCACCTGCTGGCCATAAAGTGTGGAATCAGGGTGGGACGAGAACCTGCATTCATTCTATATTATTTACTTTGCAGATTCATCCGTTTTATTCAGAGGAGGCTGGTGGAAGGAGCTATAGGAGGACGGGCTCATTGTAATGGCTAGAATGGCATAACGGAGTCAAACGTGGTTTCCATATGTGTGATACCTTTCCAGTTATTCCATTCCAGCCATCACAATGTACCCGTCCCCCTATAGCTCCTCTCACCAGCCTCCTCTGGTTTTATTATATAGGACTTAATAACAATGGACAACTTAAAAAGCTTCTTCAGAGTATAAGTGCCTCAAGTTAAAGTGGAGAGCGGTATGAGACATGAGATGAAATACTTTAAGTATGAAGAGATGCAGTGTTAATACAAACACTGCAGCAAAGTATATTTTCCTTATGACTCAAATTGTGCAGCAAAATAAGTGATTTTCTTTAGATTTCTTTTTTTCTATAGAAGTATATTGTCTGGCAAATATCTTGCCTGGCATCAAATGTAAACAAATTATTAATAAAAATGTGTTCAAAATTGATGTTTCCTTTTGTGAGAGGATGTGATAATGTATCATTTCCCTATGTTTATTAAAATGTAAGTAAACGGGGGGGACATAAAGAATCGTTCAAACTGATAAAAGCAATCTGGAAAATCTTTATGAATTTTGGTACAGCTACAAAAGAGGCATACAGATTCAAAGAGGGTTTATTATAGGTCTGTTTAATAAATATATAATACAGCATGTGCCTAGGGCTGTGACATTACCATGTTACTGCCACACCGGTGGTGACTGACCGTATTAATAACACAACAGCGGTCACGAGTCATGAAGGCAGTCAAATTCCACGTGACCGTTTATTCACGGCTTCTCCAAGCTCTGATGCTGCTGATGGTCATAATTAATTGACCAAACTTGCTAACTGCCTGGTACTCAGCACTCTATTGTCCCTCTAATCACTTTGACATCAATGCAAATGTAATCGAAAATCTAATCAAACACTTAATGAGAGCCCATGAGCTCATGTTGGGCAACATTTCTATAGGCTATGCATTTGCATGAGAAAACAGAGTGATGGCCTCTATTAAAAATAGGAGGATCCCATCAGCTTTCTATAGGCTAGGCCTACCACAGGAGGTTGGTGGCACCTTAATTGGGGAGGATGGGCTCGTGGTAATGGCTGGAGCAGAATCTGTGTCCATTATTATGAGCCGTCCTCCCCTCAGCAGCCTCCACTGAGCCTACTATATTTATTTCTCAACTTACCTAATATTGTATTTAATTTTTGTACCTTTATTTAACTAGGCAAGTCAGTTAAGAACAAATTCTTATTTACAATGACGGCCTACACGGGCCAAACCCGGACCAATTGTGCGCCTCCCTATGGGACTCCCAATCACAGCCGGTTGTGATACAGCCTGGAATCGAACCAGGGGGTCTGTAGTGACGCCTCAAGCACTGAGATGCAGTGCCTTAGACCGCTGCGCCACTCGGGAGCCCTTCTACGGGATCAGTGTCCTGTATACAAGACGGTTGAGCTAACGTGCGCTAATGTGATTAGCATGACTGTTGTAAGTAACAGCAAACTTTCCAGGACATAGATGTCTTATATGGGCAGAAAGCTTAAATTCTTGTTAATCTAACTGCACTGTCCAATTTACAGTAGCTATTACAGTGAAATAATACCATGTTATTGTTTGAGGAGAGTGCATAACAACAAAAAACATATCACGGCAACGGGTCTGATACATTCAGGTAGCTTAGTGGGTAAGAGCGTTGTGCCAGTAACCGAAAGGTCGCTGGTTCTAATCCCGAGCCGACTAGGTGAAAAATCTGTCGATGTGCCCTTGAGCAAGGCACTTAACCCTAATTGCTTCTGTAAGTCGCTCTGGATAAGAGCGTCTGCTAAATGACTAAAATGTAAATGTAAATGTAAATAATGTACTTACATTCAGTAATCTTGCTCTGATTTGTCATCCTAAGGCTCCCAGAGATAAAATGTAGCATAGTTTTATTTGATAAAATCTATTTTTATATTCAAATGTAGGAACTGGGTTCTACAGTTTGAACCCCTGCTGTCTCTGGCTCCACACCCACCCCGCCCGGCCATCTAGATGTGTGAAAGTTAGTGTATAAGCTAATGATCCATCATGTATGACATTCCTAGGAGTGTGTAAACTTACATTTTGTATTACCACATCATTTTTCTATGTTCTCTATAGTTATGTACTTGAAAATGTATTAATTGACCAATTCGGCACATTTGGGCAGACTTGATACAAAATAGTCCAGCATTGCAACGTTTCACTGGATCAATCTGAAATTTTGCGCGCACACTGCTGCCATCTAGTGGCAAAAATCTAAATTGCGCCTAAACTGCAATATTATATTGTGACCTTTCTCTTGCATTTCAAAGATGATGGAACAAAAACAACAACAGAAAACGCATGTTTTTTTTATTGTATTATCTTTTACCAGATCTAACGTGTTATATTCTCCTACATTAATTTCACATTTCCACTATCTTCAAAGTGTTTCCTTTTAAATGGTATCAACAATATGCATATCCTTGCTTCAGGTCCTGAGCTACAGGCAGTTAGATTTGGGTATGTCATTTTAGGCGAAAATTTTAAAAAAAGGGTCTGATCCTAAAGAGTATAGCCTACCTGGCTGGCATGAAAATGAACCACGGGAAAAGCGTCCTCCATTCGCTGTTTCGAGACAGGTGCATGATAATGGTCCATTCTAAATCAAAACAAATTCCACACATATATTTTTAGTATACAGTGCAGTCTGAAAGTATTCGGACCTCTTGGCTATTTCCACATTTTGTTACGTTACAGCCTTTTTCTAAAATGTATAAAATAAAAAATGTTCCTCATCAATCTACACACAATACCCCATAATGACAAAGCGAAAAGAGGTTTTAAAAATTTTTTTGCAAATGTATTTAAAATATAAAACAGAAATACCTTATTTACATAAGTATTCAGACCCTTTGCTATGAGACTCGAAATTGAGCAAGAACACAGTGGCCTCCATCATTCTTAAATGTAAGAAATTTGGAACCACCAAGACTCTTCTAGAGCTGGCCACCCGGCCAAACTGAGCAATCGGGGGAGAAGGGCCTTGGTCAGGGAGGTGACCAAGAACCCAATGGTCACTCTGACAGAGCTCCAGAGTTCCTCTATGGAGATGGGAGAACCTTCCAGAAGGACAACCATCTCTGCTGCACTCCACCAATGAGGCCTTTATGGTAGAGTGGCCAGACGGATGCCACTCCTCAGTAAAAGGCACATGACAGCCCACTTGGAGTTTGCCAAAAGGCAAAAGGACTCTCAGACCATGAGAAACAAGATTCTCTGGTCTGATGAAACCAAGATTGAACTCTTTGGCCTGAATGCCAAGCATCACTGGAGGAAACCTGGCACCATCCCTACGGTTAAGCATTGTGGTGGCAGCATCATGCTGTAGGGATGATTTTCAGCAGCAGGGACTGGGAGACTAGTCAGGATCGAGGGAAAGGTGAATGGAGAAAAGTACAGAGAGATACTTGATAAAAACCTGCTCAGGACCTCAGACTGGGGCGAAGGTTCACCTTCCAACAGGACAACCTACCTCGCCTCTCTCTCTCCCTCCCTCCTACCTCGCCTCTCTCCCTCCCTCCTACCTCGCCTCTCTCTCTCCCTGCCTCCTACCTCATCTCTCTCCCTCCCTTCCTCTAGGTGTGGTAGAGACAGGTCTGTTTGTGGGGATGACAGAGAGGGTGTACTTTGGGATGGAGGATGGTAGTGTTCGTATCAGAGACCCCCCAGTCAACTGACCAGAGCCCTGCTCCAGCACCACCTGGAACCAACCACCATCAACCATCTCATCTCAACCACAAGTGCCCTAATATTCTATCTCTGCCTGATCTGACGGACTCCGACTGTGATTGGTGTAAAAAATAGTCACCTGCAGTTTTGCCTCACACAGACACAACGTCACCTCAACATCTGTCTCTCATCATGGCATGTACAGACTCTAAGTCCCAAATGGCACTCCCTTTGACCAAGGCATATAGACCCATGGGGCTCTGGTCAAAGGGAGTGTAGTATGTAGGGATTAGGGTGCCATTTGGGACTGTCTTAAAGAATGTCACAGTCATAAACATCCAACCTGCATTGACTCACTGTGGCCGTAGTAGCTAACAGGGTGTAGTAACATCAGTCAGTGGTGTGTTTTCTGTTCTCTTTAGATAAACAGAGAGCTCTGGTGGAGATGAACAAACCAGTCTGGTAGCAGCGGTACAGTCCAAAGACTAAACCTCCTGAATGGTACCCTATCCCCTTTATAGCGCAATAGTTTTGACCCTATGGGGCACACTGACACCAATGGGCCCTTGTCAAACGTAGATCTGTCTCTAGTAGCCTGGTCCCAGATCTGTCTCTAGTAGCCTGGTCCCAGATCTGTCTCTAGTAGCCTGGTCCCAGATCTGTCTCTAGTTGCCTGGTCCCAGGTCTGTCTCTAGTTGCCTGGTCCCAGGTCTGTCTCTAGTTGCCTGGTCCCAGATCTGTCTCTAGTTGCCTGGTCCCAGATCTGTCTCTAGTAGCCTGGTCTCAGATCTGTCTCTAGTAGCCTGGTCTCAGATCTGTCTCTAGTAGCCTGGTCTCAGATCTGTCTCTAGTAGCCTGGTCTCAGATCTGTCTGGATGGCCCAAACAGACTTTCTCTCAGGCTGTGTCTCTGTTTGTCTAGTTGTTGCACATCGTTTCCGTTCATTGCTCAAGCCAGCCTTGTGGCATTCTCTTACCTAATACCAAAGTTGCAGGGTCTGGATTCACAAAACATTTCTTAAGGTTTTCAAAATCCAGACTCAATGCATGGCTCACCTAGTCTCAACCTGCTTCCAAACAGCAGTACAGGGGAAGGGGGGGCGGGGATAATGCACCAAATGTAACTATTGAACGGCCATGCATGTCCCCATCTGTAGCCTATTGGCTGTCTTGACTGAGTCTGCTTCTGGCACCAATAACATCCCTTCTCCTTCTATAGCAGCTCCTTTATTGGTCACTTAGCAGGATGTTACAGTTTAGCACCAGCTCTATGTCTAACTATCTATACCTTTCAGTGCCAATACGACTGTGATTACAATTTGTAAGTCGCTCTGGATAAGAGCGTCTGCTAAATGACGAAAATGTAAATGTAATGTAAACAACGACCCTAAGCACACAGCCAAGACAACACAGGAGTGGCTTCGGGACAAGTCTCTGAATGTCCTTGAGTGGCCCAGCCAGAGCCCGGACTTGAACCCGATCTAACATCTCTGGAGAGACCTGAAAATAGTTATCCATTCACGTAAAGACATTGGTGAGGCAGCTGAGAAATAAAGTGTATTTTTCTTATTAATTCCTGAGATCGGTCTCAAACCTGCCCCAACTATGGCAGCCAATTGCTGGACTTGCACATAGAGGTTACTAGGTCACACCCAGTTCAAACCACATTTGAAAAATAAAACATAAAATGTGGCTGTGTTCTGCCTTGCAATAATACATATCATAAAATAACTAATAACAACAACAAAAACAGCAAAATGCTTACATAGGTTTTTTATTAAAAAAATAATCAAAATGCTATTTAGTACTATAATGGTATTTATCATCGTAATATTATTACTAAAATAGTTTCTAAAAGTGTTCTAGGCCACCCTACCCAAGAATTAGGGTACTACATAACTCATTCAATAGACTTGCTAGGCTCATTTGAGGTAGCATATGCATCAGACCTACAAATCAATGAGCTAGACCTATGCATTTGGTTTGCAACTCAGTGAACCTGCGTAGCATTCGCTCAATTCGATGCCTCCGAACGAACAGATTTCGACGCATATCAATGACCCAGCAGCCATTTAGAAACAACAAATCGACACAAAAAAAAATGGTTATTTCTTAATTAAAAAAATTTTTATTCTAGCTGTTTAAATCGGCCACAACTTGAAAAAGAGTACAGGGACATGTGATTTGTTTAGGTTTATACCTTTCTCTGAAAAAAATATGGTTAACCATGACCAGAAAATGTTTAACGTTTGATCGGTATGCGCCAGCCATACCACGGTAAGCAGCTGGGCCATATGGTAATATTATGAAACTGGGCTCCACGGCGGATGCAATTAACTAGTTTTTATCATAAAAAAAGCGTTGTTAAAAATGTAATGTGTCCAACTCCAGCCTAATACATTTTAGTCGACGATCTTATCCAGAGCGACTTACAGTTAGTGAGTGCATACATTATTTTATTATTTTTCATACTGGCCCCCCGTGGGAATCGAACCCACAACTCTGGCGTTGCAAACGCCATGCTCTACCAACTGAGCTACATCCCTTCCGGCCATTCCCTCCCTTACCCTGGGCGACGCTGGGCCAATTGTGCGCCGCCCCATGGGTCTCCCGGTCGCCTTAGACCACTGCGCCACTCGGGGGGTAATACAGGTGTGCCAAGCTTGTAGCGTCATACCCAATAAGACTCGAGGCTGTAATCGTTGCCAAAAGTGCTTCAACAAAATACTGAGTGAAGGGTCTGAATACTTATGTAAATGTGATATTTCCGTTTTTTATTTGCAAAAATGTCAAAAAATATATATATATATTTGTCATTATGGGGTATTGTGTGTAGATTGATGAAGAAAAAACAAACAATTTAATCAATTTTAGAATAAGGCTGTAACGTAACAAAATGAGTAAAAAGTCAAGGGGTCTGAATACTTTCCGAATGCACTGTACATATTCTGAAAACTGAAATGTATTAGTCACAACAAAAATATGTAGGCAGATAATGGAAATATGACAGCCTATGACATGTTATGCCTTCTTTTATAAGACAATAGTAAATGAGAAATTGGTCAGATATTAATTGACAAATAGCCTTAAATTGAATGCTTGGCCTTCCTTCCTACCCCGAGCTCATAATAAATAAACAGGCTACCAGACCAGTCTGCTTACCAAGAAACATTAATTCATGCCCTAAGCAAAAGGAGGTATGCAAATTCATGCATAAGATTGTGTAGACAGATAGCAGGCCTATATCTGATGACTAATGAGTAGTAGCCTAGGCTAGTATTGACAGACCAGGAAGGAAGTAAGCACAAGATCCACCCACGCATTGGGTTGGATGAATGCAAGCAACCTGGTCTCAGAGCATTTTGTATTATTTTGTACTTAAACCAGTGAAGCGCCATTTATGATATGTTATGTTTCATACGGTATGTATTAATTTATGGATGTCCATCATCCATTCCATATGATATGTTACGAATAACAATTAATATGATATGTAAAATAAAAAAAATAAAACATCTACTATATGTAACGAATTTGCAAAACATGATATGTTACAATTTCCAATTTGGCTAACATTAGCTAGTCTAGGGGTTAGGGTTAAGATTAGGAGTTAGGTTAAAGGGTTAAGGTTAGGGTATGGGGAAGGGTTAGCTAACATGCTAAGTAGTTGCAAAGTAGCTAAAAAGTAATAAGTAGTTGAAAAGTTGTCCATGATGAGATTTGAACATGCAACCTTTGTGTCGCTAGACGTTCGCGTTATATGGCCACCCTCCTTTTGTTTTTGCCTTAACTAACCTTCTGTCTTATGTAACCATACGGACACCAAACGTAACAATCAGTGTCATACTAATTTGAGTGTACCAAATTTTCGTTTACTATGTTACGTCTAGTCTATGAGACCAACACGTGTCTTTCGAAAAGGAACACTCTGGCAGTTGCCGTATGCTGTGTTTATTGTGTTCTTCATAGGAACTGCTGTTGGTAAGTGTCTATCTTATTATTCAGTTTCCCTTAGAGAATATAACTTCATCACGGGTTATTAGGCAACTTTGCACTGTTGACTGAGTCATGATAAGTAAATGTCATTCTCAATGAAAGCAAGTCTAAGAAGCCGTAAATTAGTTCTATGTGACTGTTTCTATGCTTCTCGTTCTTAAATTTCATTTTTGATTATTTTACTTTCGGGCTTCAAAAAGCTGAAAATACAATATTTTGGGTTATTGAAAAAATATGTCACAGCGATTTAGATGGTACAATGATTTTCTATACTATACATTGCTTATTTTGTCACATAAACTGAAATTGGGCAAACTATTAGAATTTTAGCAACCAGGAAATGGTGCAGCGATTTCTGCATATTGCACCTTTAAATATGTATTTACCATAACCACACATGATGAATTGTAAAACTGTAAAATAGGCCTATTCATAACAAGGACTGTTATTATGGGATCAATGTGATCAAAGCCTATAATTGAATTGAATTCATAATAACTTATTACAAAAGGAATGAATGTGCATGTAGGCATTTTTTGTACTGCACATTGTGTATTGTAAGGTAATGATATGTCAAATCAGCATGGTTGACAAGTCATGAACAAGATGCAGCAATGATCTGATGATGGGGTCCCATGTAGCTCAGTTGGTAGAGCATGGCGTTTGCAACGGCAGGGTTGTGGGTTCGTTTCCCACGGGGGACCAGTATGAATTTTTTTTTTTTACAAATATATGCACTCACTAACTGTAAGTCGCTCTGGATAAGAGCGTCTGCTAAATGACTAAAAATGTAAAATGATGATTTCCAATTCAAATACCGAACACAGAAGAGCGCCGCTCTCATCAGTGCATGCAAATATGTGGTTTTGTGTGTGTGTGTGTCCGTCTGTCATGGCCAGTGCCATGGAGGAATTCCAGGTGACCGTCCATACCTTACCTGCCCCAACCTCTGGAACCTACAGCATCCTATGGCTCACTCTGATTGGCTCAGAGGGTGGCGAAACCCCGCCCATCTCAGTGAACGCTGGGGCCAACCAGCACCACCTCCTACCTGGATCAGTGAGTTCTCTCTGTCTCTCTCACTCACTCACTCTCTCTCTCTCTATCTTACCACCCTCTCTCACTCCCTTCTCTTTCGTTCTCTCTTCCTCCTTCTCTCTCTCAATTCAATTCAATTCAATTTCAATTCAATTTCAATTCAATTTCAATTTAAGGGCTTTATTGGCATGGGAAACATGTGTTAACATTGCCAAAGCAAGTGAAGTAGATGCTCTCTCTCTCTCTCCTCTCTCTCTCTCTCTCTCTCTCTCTCTCTCCCTCTCTCTCTCTCTCTCTCTCTCTCTCTCCTCTCTCTCTCCTCTCTCGTCTCTCTCTCTCTCTCTCTCTCTCTCTCTCTCTCTCTCTCCCCCTCTCTCTCCCTCTCTCTCTGTCAGTATATTAACCTGCAGTTTGTGTTGTCTAATAAACATTATTTCATTTTAGATTGCTTTTAGCCAGATTTCAAAGAGCTTTACCTATAGGTTTTTCCATTATCCCTGTTCCAGGCCTGTGTGGTCAGAGTGTGGTCAGAGGTGGCACTGGGTCGGGTGGTTCTGGTCCGGCTACGGTTGGAGGCTCGGATGGGTTTCCCGGACCTGGACTGGCACTGCAGGGGGGTGGAGGTCAGGAGGCTGTGTGACAGACAGGAGGAAGAGGCGGGGCTACATCACCAGGGGGCGGAGCACTTCCCTTGTAGCAGGTGGCTCCGGTCCGTAGATGGTGACGTGGAGCTACGGAACGGAGACTGTGAGATTTAAAAAATAATAAAAATAAAATAGTCACATGGTCATACCCCATATTACAGGAAGTGTGAGTAAGAGCTCTTTCGTCACACTGATGAACTAGTCAATTGGTGAGAACTACATACTATAACGTTACCATGGAAAGAGGAAGTGGTGTAGCCTTCGTATTTGAATCATATCATATATTATTTCTCTCTCTCTCTCTCTCTCTCTCTCTCAGTGTGTCTGTTCAACTCAGAGACTGTGCAAACACTGAAGGACCACAGACTCAAAGAACTGCACACTAAACAGCAGCACATCAGGTATCACAACTAAACCACAACAAACTTCCTTTTACTATACACAACACATCTCCTAACTCTACCACCAGGCACTTCCCAGTGAGCAAAATTACTTGAAAAGATGTTGAAAATACGTATTTTATGGACGTTGATAAAACGTATTTTATAGATGTTGAAAATACATATTTTACGGACGTTGAAGTCACGACATTGAAAATCATTTTTTGAGTTTCTATGGCCAAATGTCAAATGTACATAATTTAACTTACATCTACATGTCAATAAAGAAAGCATTGTCACATTCAAAAGTTATACTTCCAATTAAAACAGCAAAATGGAGATTGCTCCCATCTGTCACTTACAGTACCTTCAGAAAGTATTCATACCCCTTGACTTATTCAACATTTTGTTGTGTTACAACCTGAATTCAACATGGATTAAATAGATATTTGTTCTTACCTATCTACACATAATACATAATGACAAAGTGAAAACATATTTTTAGAAATGTTGGCAAATGTATTGAAAATTAAATACAGAAATGTCTCATTTACATAAGTATTCACACCCCTGAGTCAATACATGTTAGAATCATGGGCAGCGATTACAGCTGTGAGTCTCTAAGAGCTTTGCACACCTGGATTGTTCAATATTTGCACATTTATTCTTTTTAAAATTTAAAAAGCTTTGTCAAGTTGGTTGTTGATCATTGCTAGACAGCCATTTTCAAGTCTTGCCATAGATTTTCAAGCCGATTTAAGTCAAAACTGTAACTAGGCCACTCAGGAACATTCAATGTCGTCTTGGTAAGCAACTCCAGTGTATATTTGGCCTTCAGTTTTAGGTTATTGTCCTGCTGAAAGGTGAATTTGTCACCCAGAGTCTGTTGGAAAGCAAACTGAACCAAGTTTTCCTATAGGATTTTGCCTGTGCAGTAGCCTATATCATACGGTATATGTATTGGATAACGGCACAATCATTTGGGCTTTTTTGGGCTTGGGCTCTTTAAATGTCGTTAATGTAGGGCTCATAAAATGTATTTAATATATGGCTCATCAGGTAGATTGCATCAGGTTTTAATTTTCATGCTGATCAAAGCTATAATCAAACCCAGACATACAGTATTTATATGCTTTATAATGCTTTTGAATGGCAGGAAATACATGGTTACCCAAGAGAAAAGTGATATATTCTCGGGAAGTAACATTTGTAAAATACCGGGAAAATATTCAACCCTAGTGTAAATACTTTCTGAAAGCAGTGTAGAAAGTCATCAACAGCTATTGTTTTAAATTCAACCAGGGTTAAACTAAAAATAGACAATACATATAGGCCTAGGGTTTCAAGCTTTGGTTGATTTTCTAATTGAATCTTCACGTTGATAATTAATATGTTGGATTCACGTCTCCATCTCAACCAAATATATAAGTTAAAGAATAGGACTAAATCAAATAATACATCAAATTAGTGGTATTCAAATCTTTTCAGCAGGGACCCCATTTTTTCCAACCAAATTTCTGGGGACCACATTATTTTTGCAAACATTTCTCATGACCCCACCCCACCCCAAATCTAATGACACAAAAATAATAATAATAATTTGTAAATTTATATTTTTACATTTACATTTTAGTCATTTAGCAGACGCTCTTATCCAGAGCGACTTACAGTTAAGTGAATACATATTTTTTTATACTGGGAATCAAACCCACAACCCTGGCGTTGCAAACGCCATGCTCTATCAACTGAGCTACATCCCTGCCGGCCATTCCCTCCCCTACCCTGGGCCAATTGTGCGCCGCCCATGAGTCTCCCGGTCGCGGCCGGCTGCAACAGAGCCTGGATTCGAACCAGGATCTCTAGTGGCAAAGTTAGCACTGCGATGCAGTGCCTTAGACCACTGCGCCACTCAGTGGTCTAAGGCAAATAACCTTCAATTCATTACATTTTCATCTCTTATCAGATTGAAAAGAAACCAATAAATACATTTACTCAATAAAATTGTATTTTTCAAATTATCTTTCTCAAAAACTTTTGTATATTGTCCCATAGAATAATCTGTACTCTTCATTTTTTGTTCCTAAAAAAAGTATAGATATTGTACATATACTGAACATTAGAAACACCTTCCCGAATATTGAGTTGCACGCCTTTTGCCCTCAGAACAGCCTCAATTCGTCGGGGCATGGACTACAAGGTGTCGAAAGCGTTCCACAGGGATGCTGGCCCATGTTGACTCCAATGCTTCCCACAGATATGTCAAGTTGGCTGGATGTCCTTTAGGTGGTGGACCAGTCTTGATACACACAGGAAACTGTTGAGTGTGAAAAACCCAGCAGCGTTGCAGTTCTTGACACACTCAAACTACCATACCCTGTTCAAAGGCACTTAAATCTTTTGTCTTGCCCATTCACCCTCTGAATGGCACACATACACAATCCATGTCTCAATTGTCTCAAGGCTTAAAAATCTGTCTTTAACCTGTCTCCTCCCCTTCATCTACACTGATTGAAGTGGATTTAACAGGTGCCATCAATAAGGGATCATAGCTTTCACCTGATTCACCTGGTCTGTCTATGTCTATGTCATGTATTCCACCTTAAAATGAGTAAGACCCCTTGACTTTTTCCACATTTTGTTACGTTACAGCCTTATTCTAAAATGGATTGAATCGTTTTCCCATAATGACAAAGCAAAAACAGGTTTAAAAAAAAAAAAAACGGAAATATCACATTTACATAAGTATTCAGACTTTTTACCCAGTACTTTGTTGAAGCACCTTTGGCAGCGATTACAGCCTCAAGTCTTCTTGCGTATGACGCTACAAGCTTGGCACAACTGTATTTGAGGAGTTTCTCCCATTCTTCTATGCAGATCCTCTCAAGCTCTGTCAGGTTGGATTGGGAGCGTCGCTGCACAGCTATTTTCAGGTCTCTCCAGAGATGTTCAATCGGGTTCAAGTCCAGGCTCTGGCTGGGCCAGTCAAGGACATTCAGAGACTTGTCCCGAAGCCACTCCTGCGTTGTCTTGGCTGTGTGCTTAGGGTCGTAGTCCTGATGGAAGGTGAACCTTTGCCCCAGTCTGAGGTCCTGAGCGCTCTGGAGCAGGTTTTCATCAAGGATCTCTCTGTACTTTGCTCTGTTAATCTTTCCCTCGATCCTGACTAGTCTCCCAGTCCCTGCCGCTGAAAGAAATCCCCACAGCATGATGCTGCCACGACCATGCTTCACCGTTGGGATGGTGCCAGGTTTCCTCCAGACGTGACGCTTGGCATTCAGGCCAACAGGTTCAATCTTGGTTTCATCAGACCAGAGAATCTTGTTTCTCATGGTCTGAGAGTGCCTTTTGGCAAATTCCAAGCAGGCTGTCATGTGCCTTATACTGAGGAGTGGCTTCCGTCTGGCCACTACCATAAAGGCATGATTGGTGGAGTGCTGCAGAGATGGTTCACCTCCCTGACCAAGGCCCTACTCCCCCGATTGTTCAGTTTGGTCGGGAGGCCAGCCCTAGGAAGAGTCTAGGTGGTTCCAAACTTCTTCCATTTAAGAATGATGGAGGCCAATGTGTTCTTGGGGACTTGGGGAATTTTTTTGGTACCCTTTCCCAGATCTGTGCCTCGACACAATCCTGTCTCGGCGCTCTACGGTCAATTCCTTCGACCTCATGGCTTGGTTTTTGCTCTGACATGCACTGTCAACTGTGGGACCTTATATAGACAGGTGTGTGCCTTTCCAAATTATGTCCAATCAATTGAATTTACCAAAGGTGGACTCCAATCAAGTTGTAGAAACATATCAAGGATGATCAATGGAAACAGGATGCACCTGAGCTCAATTTCGAGTGTCATAGCAAAGGGTCTGAATACTTATGAAATAATTTTTTATACATTTACAAAAAAACTGTTTTCACTTTGTCATTATGGGGTATTGTGTGTAGATTGATGAGTGGAAAAAAATATTTTAGAATAAGGCTGTAACGTAACAAAATGTGGAAAAATCAAGGGGTCTGATTACTTTCCGATTGCACTATATATTGAGGTTACTTTTACTATAAATGTCTTCTTATGTAATCGTAGAAAGTGTGCATGTTCAACATAGCGTGCAAAGGTCGCAGGTCTGTGGAAATATTCACAATTGCTATAATAATCCACACAGAATCTCAAACATTATTGATCACTTGTACTATGCACTTTTAATGTAATCTCAACTGCAATCCAGGTCATTTGATTGTGCTATTAGATGAAGCACAGTGATAACACATTAAGTTGTATAAAAATAAAAACATCTGACATTGTATGTTGTGCTTTTAAATCTTTGAAAGCGCAATGATAACACATTCAGATGACAACTAAACCAAAGATCAGACATTGTTTTCCATTGGAATTTGGTTGTGCATTAGATGGTTGAAAGCATAGTGATAACAAACTTCTGGCTGTCCTTTTTGAGTGGGTGAATAAAGGTTGAAATGTCATTGATCAACGTCTCAACCAAATATTACCCACATTTCCATGTTGAAATGATGTGGTGTGCCCAGTGGGATGTCTATGCTTGGGCCAAATCAAGGCAGGTCCGGACCAAATCGGAACAAATTTTCATCCAAATCAAGGCTGGTCCAGACCGGACCAAATCTGATTTTTTGGGGGGCCAAATCAAGGCTGGTCTGGACCGGACCACATCTGAACCAAGTTTGGGCCAAATCAAGGCCGGTCTGGACCAGACCAAATCTGAACCAATCATAGACGTCTATTTTGGGGGCAAATCAAAGCTGGGGGGGAATGGACCAGAAATCAACGTCTGTGGACATTGAAATCAAGGCCGGTCTGGACCTGACCAAAAATCACTGTGGATGTTGAAATAAATGCCAGGGCGGACTGACCAAATTTCAACCACTTTTCAACATCCATGGACGTCCTGCGTCAATCGGTGCTCACTGGGTTTAGTGTTTAAAAAGTCGGTGTTAGCATTATGGAGGAGGATGTGTGCGGGTAGAATATTAAGGCTCATTCACTTGATTCACGCAAAGCCGCTCTTACACGAGTCAAGTGAGTGGGCCTTTAGTACCTATAGTTTGATTGATGTCATGTGGTGGTCTACCCTATAGGTGGCGTACGTTTGCTGAGGGAGTTCCTCACTGTGTGGACATGACCAGTCTGAAGGAACTGGGACCCAACCTCAGCTACACACGCCAGAGGTCAGCCCTCTGCTCTCAACGTTTTGTCTGCCCTCCACATTCTGTCTGCCCTCCATATTCTATTTGCCCTCCACATTCTGTCTGTCCTCACCTCAACATTTGATCTTCCCCTTCACATTGTATTTGTCCTCTCAGCCCAGGCATCAATCTGCAGTATCTGAGGGGTTTTCCTGAGAGAGCTGAATCCTGGAGTAGCTTTACTGAGCTGGAGACCATGTTCAGCCACAATGGGAGCCAGAATACTGTCGCTAGTATGTTACACACACACACACACACACACACACACACACACACACACACACACACGCCAATTCTCACTGTCTGTCCTTCCCCCTCCCCTCCCCTTTCTTTATTTCCTTCTCTCTTCTCTCCCTCCCCCTCTCTTGAAGAGTATGTGCAGGCCCATTGGTCTGAGGACTGGTTCTTTGGCTACCAGTGTTTGAACGGTTGTAACCCTCTCATGGTGCGACAGACACGCCTCCTCCCTCCCAACCTGTCAATCAACTCTGACATTCTCTGCCCCTTCCTGCCTGACGGATCTTCACTGGACCAGGAGCTAGAGGTGTGTGTGTGTGTGTGTGTGTGTGTGTGTCTATGTCTGCCGGTGAGTGTGTTTTTATTTTTTTTAAGGAGTGGGGCAGTCCCACTCCTTTCGTAATTCTTTGAGCTTTTATTGAAGAGATTGCAAATCGCTGGAAAGACGGAAAGGGACAGTCAAAAGGCATGGGCTGGATTCGAAAACATGCCGACTCTGGCATACATGTGTGTCGGGGTCAGCGGCTGCAACAACTGGACCACACAGGCCAGAATAGTGTTTGTGGGTGTGTGTTGGGTTTGCACTGTGTGAAACTTCAAACTTCACCTTTGTGCGTTCACGGCAGAGAGGGTCTATTTTCCTGCTGGACTACGAAATGTTGGAAGGTGTCCCGGCCAACGTGATCAATGGGAAGCAGCAGTATCTCGCCGCCCCGCTAGTCCTTCTGCACCTCAACCAGCAGGGGGAGCTCAAACCCATCGCCATCCAGGTGAGTCCAATAAACAATCTATGGCATACAAACATACATACATACATACATACATACATACATACATACATACATACATACATACATACATACACTACCAGTCAAAAGTTTGCACACACCTACTCATCCATATTTGTTATTTCATAGTTTTGATGTCTTCACTATTATTCTACAATGTAGAAAATAGTAAAAATAAAGAAAAACCCTTGAATGAGTAGGTGTGTCCAAACTTTTGACTGGTACTGTACATACTGACAGGCAGACAGAAACTTTATTAATCCCAGAGGGGAATTCTATTACTAGTTGGATTCTACTACTACTGTTACTACTACTGCTACTACAAAAATGTATAATTCTAGAACTATTGTACCACTAATTATACCCACAGCTGCAGCAGGCCCCTGGCCCTCAGAACCCAGTGTTCCTGCCCTCTGACCCTGGCCCTGATTGGCTGTTGGCTAAGACCTGGGTGCGCTGCTCAGACTTCCAGTGCCACCAGCTCTCCTCTCACTTCCTCAGAACCCACCTGCTGGGAGAGGTGTGTTGCACTGCCACCCTCAGGCAGCTGCCGGAAGTACACCCTCTACACCAGGTAAATAGTATATAATAAACAGGTAACTAGTAAATAGTAAACACAGCAGGTAAAGTTGTAATAAATACACCACCACTTAGTAGGCGGTGAAACGTGCCGCAACCTGGAGGGGTAGACGTAACATAGTAAACGTAAATATGTCTCTCTCCATTTAGTATGATATGTTTCGTATGGTATGTATTAATTAGTGGATTTCCATCATTCATTTAATATGATATGTTACGAATTGCAATTCGTACAATATGTTACACATTTTCAATAAGTATGATATGTTACGAACAGTGGAGACAGGTGGGAGGAGCTATAGGAGGACGGGCTCATTGTAATGGCTGAAATGGAATGAATGGAGCGATAAACACGTCAAACATATGGAAACCACATGTTTGACTCCATTCCATTCCAGCCATTACAATGAGCCCGTCCTCCTATAGCTCCTCCCACCAGCCTCTACTGTTTACGAATTCCAATTTGTTGTGGCTAACATTAGCTAGGTGGCTAGGTGTCTAATGCTGACATTAGCTAGGTGGCTAATGTTACCTGGGTTAAGGTTAGGGGAAGGGTTGGTTAGGGGAAGGGTTAGCTAACATGCTAAGTAGTTGCAAAGTAGCTAAAAAGTAGTAAGCAGTTGCAAAGTTCCTAAAATTGTCCATGATAAGATTCGAACATGCAATTTCTGGGTTGCTAGATATTCGCGTTATACGCCCACCCATCCACCCCGACCAAACAACCTCCTTTTGTTTTTGACTTAAATAACCTTCTATCCTATATAACCATTACAAATGTAACATATCATACTAATTTGAGTGTCCCGGATTTACGTTTACTATGTTATGTCTAGACCAGGCTGCGTAGTTGCAAAGTTTAGTTAACCTCCTGAACCATCCGGAAGTCTCGCGAGCTCACATCTGTTTCACTAGTACCTTGCAGATGGAATTGAAATGTATAGAGCTGCCATTAGCCAGAATCTGACTGTTGTTGTTATTATTATTGTTGCAGTTGTTGATGCCTCACATCAAAACCACACTACAGATCAACATCCAAGCCAGGGGCTCTCTACTGGCTGCCAACGGAGTGTTTGACAAGGTATGATCGTGTGTCTTGGAATGTTTGTGTGAGTTGCAATGTTTTAGTACACACATTTTCTTTGTGCATATGCCTGTACACTTTTGCTAGTTTATAACCACAAAATTGCATGTGCCTGTTGTGTGTGTCAGGCCATAGGCTGTGGTCTGGAGGCGTTGCCTGTAATTTTGTCACGAGCCACAGAGCGTCTGAGTTACCGCTCCCTGTGTGTCCCTGAAGACCTGGCAGACAGAGGGATACACACACTCAAACAGTGCTACTATGCACACGACGCACTGCGAGTGTGGAACGCACTGCACAGGTACACATATTCACGCACGCACATACATACACACACACACGTGCACACACACACACAGCTACTACGCTCATGATGCACTGCGAGTGTTGAACGCACTGCACAGGTACACACACATGCACTCACGCACGCACAGAGAAATACAGTCATGCACACAATTCAATTACAGCTATGATATCAATTCTCAGAATCTGGCACGCACTGCACAGGTACACACACATACAACACACTTCCATTTTACACGCACCATCATTACTGTTGTGTTTTGTTTGATGATGTGGCAGATTTGTGAGTGGCTGGGTGGATGTGTATTACCATGGAGACCAGGATGTGAAGCAGGACTCTGAGCTGCAGAGCTGGATCACAGAGATCTACACACACGGCTTCCTACAGCTCCCTCACTCAGGTAGGGGTGTGTGTGTGTGTGTGTGTTCTACCCATAACACCCTATGTGAAACTTACTGTTCAATAAAAAAGGCACTGTTCAATAATTTACACTATATATACACAAAAGTTTGTGCACACCCTTTCAAATTAGTGGATTCAGAGATTTTTTTTTTTTTTTTTTTTTTTATTTCACCTTTATTTAACCAGGTAAGCCAGTTGAGAACAAGTTCTCATTTACATTATTTCAGCCACACCCGTTGCTGACAGGTGTATACAATCGAGCACAAAACCACGCAATCTCCATATTCAAACATTGGCAGTAGAATGGCCTTATTGAAAAGCTCAGTGACTTTCAACGTGGCACCGTCATAGGATGCAACCTTTCCAACAAGTCAGTTAGTCAAATTTCTGCCCTGTTAGAGCTGCCTCAGTCAACTGTAAGTGCTGTTATTGTGAAGTGGAAATGTCCAGGAGCAACAACGGCTCAGCCACAAAGTGGTAGGCCACACAAGCTCACAGAACAGGACCGCCGAGTGCTGAAGCGCATAGTGCATAAAAGTCTGTCCTCGGTTGCAACACTCGCTACCGAGTTCCAAACTGCCCCTGGAAGCAACTTCAGCACAATAACTGTTCATCGGGAGCTTCATGATATGGGTTTCCATGGCCGGGCAGCCACACACAAGCCTAGGATCACAATGCGCAAAGCCAAGCGTCAGCTGGAGTGGTGTAAAGCTCGCCACCATTGGACTCTGGAGCAGTGGAAACGCGTTCTGTGGAGTGATGAATCACGCTTCACCATCTGGCAGTCCGACGGACGAATCTGGGTTTGGTGGATGCCAGGAAAACGCTACCATAGTGCCAACTGTAAAGTTTGGTGGAGGAGGAAAAATGGGCCAGGCTAGGCCCTTTAGTTCCAGTGAAGGGAAATCTTAACACTACAGCATACAATGACATTCTAGATTATTCTGTGCTTCCAACTTTGTGGCAACAGTTTGGGGAAGGCCCTTTCCTGTTTCAGCATGACAATGCCCCTGTGCACAAAGCAAGGTCCATACAGAAATGGTTTGTCGAGATCGATGTGGAAGGACTTGACTGGCCTGCACAGAGCCCTGTCCTCAACCCCATCGAACACCTTTGGAATGAATTGGAACGCCAACTGCGTACATGAGAAGTGGTTTCTCAAAGACTATGGCTGTGCATTTTTTTATTGTCAACTGAAGTGAATTGACTATATAACTAACTGACTACCTTTTAACTATCTTGGTTCCCTCAGGTTGCCCACAGTCATTCCAAACCAAACCAGAACTCTGTCAGTTTGTTACCATGGTGATATACTGCTGCTCTGCGCTGCACGCTGCTGTCAACTTCTCTCAGGTTATCAATCCATCAACATGATTAATCAATAAACTGTATCCATCAATCAATACAGTACTTAGGGCCTAATCTTCACTTGAGACACATATGGGCTCTGGTCAAAAGTAGTATGCTATAAAGGAAATATTGGATCATTTGTGACACAAACTAAGTGATACCCATTCCCCTTCTTGTTCCCTCCAGGTGGATTTTGACCTGTGGATGCCCAACTGCCCAGCATACATGACGCACCCCCCTCCCCAGACCAAAGGCATGTTGACGGAGGAAGACATTCTCTCTATCCTCCCGGATGTCAACTCCACCTGCAGCCTCCTCATCACTCTGTCCCTATTGTCCCAGCCCGCTGCCGACTACGTAAGACACACACACACAGTTTCTGATGACTGATGTCCCAGCCCGCTGCCGACTATGTACGATCCAAATACCCTCTATCACTGGGAACTTCACCCAGTCCTCTCCAATATCATCTTGTGTCTTATCACAAGATGTCTCTCTATCCTACCGGACGTCAACTCCACCTGCAGCCTCCTCATTACTCTGTCCCTACTGTCCCAGCCCACTGCAGACTACAATTTATTCGGAAAGTATTCAGACCCCTTGACTTTTTCCACATTTTGTTACGTTACAGCCTTATTATAAAATGGATTATATAATCCCCCCCCCCCATCAATCTACACACAATACCCCATAATGACAAAGAAAAAACCGAAATATTACATTTACATAAGTATTCAGACCCTTTACTCAGTACTTTGTTGAAGCACCTTTGGCAGCGATTACAGCCTTGAGTCTTCTTGGGTATAACCCCACAAGCTTGGCACACCTGTATTTGGGGAGTTTCTCCCATTTTTCTCTGCAGATCCTCTCAAGCTCTGTCAGGTTGGATGGGGAGCGTTGCTGCACAGCTATTTTCAGGTCTCCAGAGATGTTCGATCGGGTTCAACTCCGGGCTCTGGCTGGGCCACTCAAGGACATTCAGAGACTTGTCCCGAAGCCACTCCTGCATTGTCTTGGCTGTGTGCTTAGGGTTGTTGTCCTGCTGGAAGGTGAACCTTCGCCCCAGTCTGAGGTCCAGAACGCTCTGGAGCAGGTTTTCATCAAGGATCTCTCTGTACTTTGCTCCATCCATCTTTCCCTCGATCCTGACTAGTGTCCCAGTCCCTGCCCCTGAAAAACATCCCCACAGCATGATGCTGCCACCACCATGCTTCACCGTAGGGATGGTGCCAGGTTTCCTCCAGACGTGATGCTTGGCAAAGAGTTCAATCTTGGTTTCATCAGACCAGAGAATCTTGTTTCTCATGGTCTGAGAGTCTTTAGGTGCCTTTTGGCAAACTCCAAGCGGGCTATCATGTGCCTTTTACTGAGGAATGGCTTCCGTCTGGCCACTTCTCCTATCTACACAGAGGAATTCTGGAGCTCTCTCAGAGTGACCATCGGGTTCTTGGTCACCTCTCTGACCAAGGCCTTTCTCCCCCGATTGCTCAGTTTGGCCGGGCGGCCAGCTCTAGGAAGAGTCTTGGTGGTTCCAAACTCCTTCCATTTAAGAAAGATGGAGGCCACTGTGTTTTTGGGGACCTTCAATGCTGCAGAAATGTTTTGGTACCCTTCCCCAGATCTGTGTCTCGACACAAACCTGTCTCGGAGCTCTACGGACAATTCCTTAGACCTCATGGCTTGGTTTTTGCTCTGACATGCACTGTCAACTGTGGGACCTTATATAGACAGGTGTGTGCCTTTCCAAATCATGTCCAATCAATTGGGTTTACCACAGGTGAACTCCAATCATGTTGTAGAAACATCTCAAGGATGATCAATGGAAACAGGATGCACCTGAGCTCAATTTCGAGTCTCATAGGAAAGGGTCGGAATACTTATGTAAATAAGGTATTTCTGTTTTTTATTTTAATACATTAGCAAAGATTTATAGAAATCTGTTTTCGCTTTGTCATTATGGGGTATTGTGTGTAGATTGATAAGGATTTTATTTTATTTAATCCATTTTAGAATAAGGCTGTAACGTAACAAAATGTGGGAAAAGTGATGGGTTCTGAATACTTTCTGAAGGCACTGTATGTACAATCCACACACATCTTCATCAATCAAATGTATTTATAAAGCCCTTTTTACATCAGCAGATGTCACAAAGTCCTTATACAGAAACCCACCCTAAAACCCCAAACAGCAAGCAATGCAGATGTAGAAGAACGGTGGCTAGGAAAAACTCCCTAGAAAGGCAGGAACCTTCAAAGAAACCTAGCAAGGAACCAGGCTCTGAGGGGTGGCCAGTCCTCTTATGGCTGCGCCGGGTGGATATTATAAGAGTACATGGCCATTAAGGCCAGATCGTTCTTCAAGATGTTCAAACATTCATAGATGACCAGCAGGGTCAAATAATAATCACAGAGGGTAGAGGGTGCACTTTGGGTGGGATATAACCCCTGCACCCACACCACTAGAGAGATAAACAGACCACCAACTTACTACCCTGAGACAAGGCTGAGTATAGCCCATGAAGATCTTCTCCACCGCACAAGCCTGAGGGGAGTCAAGACCGGACAGGAAGATTGCGTCAGTGACTCAACCCACTCAAGTCGAGTATAGCGCAAAAAAGCCTGACACGACATGACACACCCCTCCTAGGAACGGCATGGAAGAGCACTAGTAAGCCAGTGACTCAGCCTCCGTAATAGGGTCAGAAGCAGAGAATTCCAGTGGAGAGAGGGAAGCCGGCCAGGCAGAGACAGCAAGGGCGGTTCGTCATTCCAGTCCCTTGCCGTTCACCTTCGCACCGCATGGCCAGACTACACTCAATCATAGGACCTACTGAAGAGATGAGTCTTCAGTAAAGACTTAAAAGGTAGAGACCGAGTCTGCGTCTCTCACATGGATAGGCTGACCATTCCATAAAAATTGAGCTCTATAGGAGAAAGTCCTGCCTCCAGCTGTTTGCTTAGAAATTCTAGGGACAATATGGAGGCCTGCGTCTTGTGACTGTAGCGTACGTGTAGGTATGTACAGCAGGATCAAATCAGAGAGATAGGTAGGAGCAAGTCCATGTAATGCTTTGTAGGTTAGTAGTAAAACCTTGAAATCAGCCCTAGCCTTAACAGGAAGACAGTGTAGAGAGGCTAGCACTGGAGTAATATGATCACATTTTTGGGTTCCAGTCAAGATTCTAGCAGCTGTATTTAGCACTAACTGAGGTTTATTCATTGCTTTATCCGGGTAGCCGGAGACTAGAACATTGCAGTAGTCTAATCTAGAAGTGACAAAAGCATGGATTAGCTTTTCTGCATAATTTTTTGACAAAAAGTTTAAAGATTTTTGCAGTGTTAGAAAGATGGAAAAAAGCTGCCCTTTAAATATTCTTGATATGTTCGTCAAAAGAGAGATCAGGGTCCAGAGTAATGCAGAGGTCCTTCACAGATCAAAACAACAGATATCTTTGTTTCTTGGGACCTAGAACTAGCATCTCTGTTTTGTCCGAGTTTAAAAGTAAAACATTTGCCGCCATCCACTTCCTTATGTCTGAAACACAGGCTTCCAGGTTAGGCAATTTTGGGGCTTCACCATGTTTCATCGAAACGTACAGTTGTGTGTCGTCCGCATAGCAGTGAAAGTTGACATTGTATTTCCGAATGACATCACCAAGAGGTAGAATATATAGTGAAAACAATAGTGGTCCTAAAACGGAACCTTGAGGAACACCGAAACATACAATTGATTTGTCAGAGGACAAACCATCCACAGAGACGAACTGATATCTTTCCGATAGATAAGATCTAAACCAGGCAAGAACTTGTCCATGTAGACTAATTAGGGTTTCCAATCTTTCCAAAATAATGTGGTGATCTTGGTGTCAAAAGCGGCACTAAGGTCTAGGAGCACGAGGACAGATGCCGTGCCTTGGTCTGACACCATTAAAAGATAATTGACCACCTTCACGAGTGCAGTCTCAGTACTATGATGTGGTCTAAAACCAGACTGGAGCATTTCGTATACATTATTTGTCTTTAGGAAGGCAGTGAGTTGCTGCACAACAGCTTTTTCAAAAATGTTTGAGGGGAATGGGAGATTCGATATAGAATGATCGTTTTTTTAATTTTCCAGGTCAAGGTTTGGCTTTTTCAGGAGAGGCTTTATTACTGCCACTTTTAGTGAGTTTGGTACACCTCCAGAGGATAGGGAGCCTTTTATTATGTTCAACATAGGAGGGCCAAGCACAGGAAGTAGCTTTTTCAGTAGTTTAGTTGGAATAGGGTTCAGTAGGCAGCTGGAAGGTTTAGAGGCCATGACTATTTTTGTGAATGTGTCGAGAGATACCGGATTAAAAAATAACTTGAGTGTCTCCATTGATCCTAGTTCTGTGAAGACTCAGGTCAACCCAAATACGCAGATTCAAGGAGTCCGTAATTTGCTTTCCAATAATCATGATATTTTCGTTGAAGAAGTTCATGGCCATCCTCTCTTGGGGAATGCTGCTTTTTAGTTAGCTTTGCGACAGTATCAAAAAATACATTTTGTATTGTTTTTATTATCTGCAGTTAGGTTGGAAAAGTAGTCTGATCGAGCAGCAGTGAGGGCTCTTTGATATTGCACAGTAGGTCTTTCCAAGCTAGTCAGAAGACTTCCAGTTTGGTGGAGCGCCATTTCAGTTCCAATTTTCTGGAAGCTTGCTTCAGGGCTCGGGTATTTTCTGTATACCATGGAGCTAATTTCTTTTGACAAATGTTTTTTGTTTTTAGAAGTGCGACTGCATCTAGGGTATTAGGTAAGGTTACATTTGGATTGTCAGTTAGGTGGTTAACTGATTTTTGTACTCCAACGTCCTTGTGTAGGTGGAGGGAGTCTGGAAGGGCATCTAGGAATCTTTGGGTTGTCCAAGAATTTATAGCATGGCTTTTGATAATCCTTGGTTGGGGTCTGAGCAGATTATTTGTTGCGATTGCAAACGTAATAAAATGGTGGTCTGATTGTCCAGGATTATGAGGAAAAACATTTAGATCCACAATATTTATTCCAAGGGACAAAACTAGATCCAGGGTATGACTGTGGCAATGCGTAGGTCCGGACACATTGGACAAAACCCACTGAGTTGATGATGGCTCCAAAAGCCTTTTGGAGTGGGTCTGTGGACTTTTCCATTTGAAGTCACCAAAAATGTGAATATTATCTGCCATAATCTTGTATTTTACATCCATCCCCTTTTTCCTCTCCTAGGTGCCTCTGTGTCACTATCGTGAGGCTGTGTTCAGCAGTGGTGCCCCTCGCAGGCTGGTGGAGAAGGTGCAGGCCGAGCTCAGGGCCATTTCTGATGATATCACAGACAGGAACAAGAAGCTGGAGCTGCCTTATGAGTACATGTCCCCCGACCGCATTGAGAACAGTGTGGCCATCTGAGCTGCTGCGAATACACACACACAGACACGCATGCACACACAGACACACATGTTATTTTATTCTATCCTCGTGGGGACCTAAAATGAATTTCCATTCAAAATCCTATTTTCCCTAACCTTAACCCGTAACCCTAAACCTAACCACTAACCCTGAACTTAAAATAGTCTTTGTCCTCATGGGGATGTGGGAAATGTCCCCACGAGGGAGAATCTTCCTTGTTTTACTATCCTTGTGGGGACTTTTGGGGATTTTAGGTCCCCACAAGGATAGAAGAACCAACCCACACATGCACGCAGACACAGACACACACTGACAGGCAAACACACAGACCCCTAGGCACCCACACACCCACTTCCAGCCACATTCACAAACATAAACGACATCTTATGGTTAAAAAAACGTGTTAAAACCTGCTCTATAATGATTTTACTCTATCACCCACAATGTTTCTTCAGTTTCTAATAATCACGCTTTGACAGTGTTAGTGCTTCTGGGGTTTAATGGTTTTTAATGAAATGCAGCGATACACAGTGATCAGGTAGATCACTCTCCTCTCCTAATGTACAGCAGCAAACAATAATACTGGCTGCATCTCAATAGTCTATAGTGGCCTTCTCTCCTATTATCCTGTCCTTTTCTCCTCTCCATCTTTGCTGAGTGAGAGGTGGACTAGGATTTAGCTTCCACCTGTCATGTTAAAAATTCCTTCTTTAACAAGTCTCCTCCCCTTCATCTACACGGATTGAAGTGAATTGAACAAGTGACATCATTCTGATCATAGCTTTCACCTGGATTCATCTGGTCAGTCTGTCTTGGAAAGTACTGTGTACAAAACATACATATACACTACCGTTCAAAAGTTTGGGGTCACTTAGAAATGTCCTTGTTTTCGAAAGAAAAGCAATTTGTTTGTCCATTAAAATAACATCAAATTGATCAGAAATACAGTGTAGACATTGTTAATGTTGTAAATGGCTATTGTAGCTGGAAACAGCTGATTTTTAATGGAATATCTACATAGGCGTGCAGAGGCCCATTATCAGCAACCATCAGTCCTGTGTTCCAATGGCACGTTGTGTTTGCTAATCCAAGTTCATCATTTTAAAAGGCTAATTGATCATTATAAAACCCTTTTGCAATTATGTTAGCACAGCTGAAAACTGTTGTGCTAATTAAAGAAGCAATAAAACTGGCCTTCTTGAGACTAGTTGAGTATCTGGAGCATCAGCAATTGTGGGTTCGATTACAGGCTCAAAATGTCCAGAAACAAATAACTTTCTTCTGAAACTCGTCAGTCTATTCTTGTTCTGAGAAATGAAGGCTATTCCATGCGAGAAATTGGCAAGAAACTGAAGATCTCGTACAACGCTGTGTACTACTCCCTTCACAGAACAGCGCAAACTGGCTCTAGCCGATGTGGCCAGGGCAATAAATTGCAATGTCCGTACTGTGATACGCCTAAGACAGCGCTACAGGGAGACAGGACGGACAGCTGATCGTCCTCGCAGTGGCAGACCACGTGTAACAACACCTGCACAGGATCGGTACATCCGAACATCACACCTGCGGGACAGGTACAGGATGGCAACAACAACTGCCCGAGTTACACCAGGAACGCACAATCCCTCCATCAGTGCTCAGACTGTCCGCAATAGGCTGAGAGAGGCTGGACTGAGGGCTTGTAGGCCTGTTGTAAGGCAGGTCCTCACCAGACATCACTGGCAACAACGTCGCCTATGGGCACAAACCCACCGTCGCTGGACCAGACAGGACTGGCAAAAAGTGCTCTTCACTGACGAGTTCGCAGTTTTGTCTCACCAGGGGTGATGGTCGGATTCACGTTTATCGTCGAAGGAATGAGCGTTACACCAAGGCCTGTACTCTGGAGCGGGATCGATTTGGAAGTGGAGGGTCCGTCATGGTCTGGGGTGGTGTGTCACAGCATCATCGAACTGAGCTTGTTGTCATTGCAGGCAATCTCAACGCTGTGCGTTACAGGGAAGACATCCTCCTCCTGACATGACCCTCCAGCATGACAATGCCACCAGCCATACTGCTCGTTCTGTGCGTGATTTCCTGCAAGACAGGAATGTCAGTGTTCTGCCATGGCCAGCGAGGAGCCCGGATCTCAATTCCATTGAGCACGTCTGGGACCTGCAGGATCGGAGAGTGAGGGTTGGGCCATTCCCCCCAGAAATGTCTGGGAACTTGCAGGTGCCTTGGTGGAAGAGTGGGGTAACATCTCACAGCAACAACTGGCAAATCTGGTACAGTCCATGAGGAGGAGATGCACTGCAGTACTTAATGCAGCTGGTGGCCACACCAGATACTGCCTGTTACTTTTGATTTTGACCTCCCCTTTGTTCAGGGACACATTATTCAATTTCTGTTAGTCACATGTCTGTGGAACTTGTTCAGTTTATGTCTCAGTTGTTGAATATTGTTATGTTCATACAAATATTTACACATCTTTTTTTGATGAGTTTATATTCTGCAGAGGATAAGTTCATTAGAGTTACCAGCCTCAGAAATTGCAGCACAAATAAATGCTTCACAGAGTTCAAGTAACAGACACATCTCAACATCAACTATTCAGAGGAGACTGTGTGAATCAGGCCTTCATGATCGAATTGCTGCATAGAAACCACTACTAAATGACACCAACAAGAAGAACAGACTTGCTTGGGCCAAGAAACACGAGCAATGGACATTAGACTGGTGGAAGTTTGTCCTTTGGTCTGGAGTCCAAATTGGAGATTTTTGGTTCAAACCGTTGTGTCTTTGTGAGATGCGGTGTGGGTGAACGGATGATCTCTGCATGTGTATTTCCCACCGTAAAACATGGAGGAGGAGGTGTTATTGTTTGGGGGTGCTTTGCTGGTGACACTGTCTGTGATTTATTTAGAATTCAAGGCACACTTAACCAGCATGGCTACCATAGCATTCTGCAGTGATACACCATCCCATCTGGTTTGGGCTTAGTGGGACTAACATTTGTTTTTCAATAGGACAATGACCCAACACACCTCCAGGCTGTGTAAGGGGTATTTTACCAAGAAGGAGAGTGATGGTGTGCTGCATCAGATGACCTAGCCTCCACAATCTCCCGACCTCCACCCAATTGAGATGGTTTGGGATGAGTCGGACCGCAGAGTGAAGGAAAAGCAGCCAACAAGTGCTCAGCATATGGGGGAACTCCTTCAAGACTGTTGGAAAAGCATTCCAGGTGAAGCTGGTTGAGAGCATGCCAAGAGTGTGCAAAGCTGTCATCAAGGCAAAGGCTGGCTATTTGAAGAATCTCACATCTCAAATATATTTGTATTTGTTTAACACTTTTTTGCTTACTACATGATTCCATATGTGTTATTTCATAGTTTTGATGTCTTCACTATTATTCTACAAAAACCCTTGAGTGAGTAGGTGTGTCCAAACTTTTGACTGGTAGTGTGTGTGTGTGTGTGTGTGTATGTATATATATATATATATATATATATATATATATATATATATATATATATATATATATATATATATATATATATATATATATATATATACAGTGAGCTCCATAACTCATTGGACAGTGACCATTTTTTTGTTATTTTGGTTCTGTACTCTAGCACTTTGAGTTTGAAAGGATACAATGAGGGTGAAGTGCAGACTGTCCGCTTTAATTTGAGGGTATTTTCATACATATCGGATGAACCGTTTAGAAATGACAGCACCTTTTGTACATGGTCCCCCCATTTTAAGATACTACAAGTATTTGTTAAATTGGCTTCACAGATGTGTGTCGTTAGGCAGGTGTATTCATTTGTGTCGTTGTGAATGCAGGAGAGCTGTTGATGAATAGTATTGATTCTAGACTTTGCTATTGCCTTTGGAGGTTGTTGTTGGGGTGTGACAACATGAGGAAGACAGCAGTGTCGATGCAAATTAAGCTGGCCGTCATAAGGCTCAGAAATTAAAATCAATCAATCAGGAACATTGCAAAAACCCTGGCCATGCCCAAGTCAACAGTTTGGTTCATCATTAACAAGAAAAAAACAACCGGTGAACTCAATTATGTCAAAAGAACCGGTAGACCGAGGAAGACCACTGTAGTGGATGACCGGAGAATACTCTCTATGGTGAAGAAAACCCCCCTTACAACAGCCCAACAGATCAAAAACACTCTCCTGGATGCAGGTGTAGATGTGTCAAAGTCTACCATACGTAGAAGACTACACCAGCAGGACTACAGAGGGTACACTACAAGATGCAAACCACTGATAAGCCTGAAGAACAGAAAGGCGAGATTACAGTTTGCTAAAAAGTACCTAAAAGAGCCCCAAGAGTTCTGGAAAAAGTATTGTGGACAGATGAGACAAAGATTAACATGTACCAGAGTGATGGAAAGAGGAAAGTGTGGAGAAAAAAAAGAAATGCCCATGATCCAAAGCATACCACCTCATCCGTGAAACATGGTGGAGGGGGTGTTATGGCTGCCAGTGGAACAGGCTCATTTGTCTTCATCGATGATGTGACTGCAGACAGAAGTAGAACAATGAATTCTGAAGTCTACAGAAATATTTTATCTGCTCAGATAATACCAAATGCCTCCAAACTCATTGGACGGCACTTCATCATGCAACAAGACAATGACCCTAAACATACTGCTAGAGCAACGAAGGGGTTTTTGATGGCCAAAAAGTGGAAAATCCTTGACTGGCAGAGTCAATCACCGGATCTGAATCCAATTGAACATGCATTTTACATGCTGAAGAGGAGACTGAAGGCAATAAGTCCCCGAAACAAGCAGTAACTGAAGATGGCTGCAGTACAGGCCTGGCAGAACATCACCAAGAAAGACACCCAGCGTCTGGTGATGTCGATGCATCGCAGACTTCAAGCAGTCATTGCATGCAAAGGATATGCGACCAAATATTAACAATGATTACGTTATTCTACATTAT